TAAATATGCTTTTCATGCTACTTCTGGCTGGATGCTTATGTCTTCTTGAAAACTGGGGGTCCAGTGTTTTTCTTTTTATTTATTTTGCATTTTTGTCCAGTGGCAACTATTTGGCTGATATTCAGTAGCTAACAATGGTTAATTGTAGCCCCAATAATTTCACATTTAATGTTCAAGCTATCAAGTTAGTAAAAAAGTAAGAGAATAAAATATTTTCTCATTAGATTTAAAGCTATGTTAGTATAAACAGTTTGGTCTTTATAGTTTTATTTTTTATTTATTGTGTTTTAATATTTTTTTTGGTTATCAAACAAACAAAAGTGGCAACTAATCTCTGGTATTTCTCCAAAGAAATAACAGTTTTTCTTAACATCCCTGACTTTTTGTCGTTTTGAAGCTTCATGTTGCATGAAGACATGAAGCCATCTTGAATTTAGATAAATATGAACCGATGTGGTGGAACCGGATAGAAATGAACGTGTGGGAGAGTTTTGAAAAGAGATTTGAAAGGCCTGCATTGGACACTCTGGCTCCACCCAGTGGCCCAAAAAAGGAAGTGAAGAGTCAAGCTTCAAAACAAAAGTTAGTTATTTATTTCAGAATTTCTTTTCAGGTGGAAATTGATCATAAAAACAGTTTATATTCACTATGAGTAATATAATAAGTTCTCCTTCCTGAGGCTGTATGCACTTCCCCGCCTGTCTGTTTTGCTCCCCCTACTGGTCATCAATAATAACGTCCGCATCTCCTTTACCCCTTGTAAGCCCCCTTTGCTTCCCTGTCTGCTTCACTGGGACATCACCATTTGGTAAGGCTGACTGGATTTGGTGAGGGAGACAGCGGGGGGCCAGCAGGGGGGTTTATGTTGGCTTTATGCATTGCCTGTGCTGCTGGATCTCTTTGTTATTAGTCGACGCCCATAGCTGGAGAAAAGCCGGCCCCATCTCTGCCTTTTGACCTTGTAGGAAACTGTAACTCACATCTTGTGTGATTCTGTGAATAAAAACGTACAATGCAAGTAGCCCGACGTCCCACAGGACGTATTTTTATAATGCTATCACAAGCATAGACAATAAAACGTTTGTTAAAAATAGAAATCAGTGAAGGTTACAGAATACCTCCTAAAATTAATTACTGATGGCTGCGTTCTCGCAAGTGGACAGCAGGTGTCGCCACCAGGCAAATTAAAGCTACAAAGAATTTGAAAATCGATAAACTGATTCCAATATTTGGAGGTTTAAAGTAAATTTAATGGGTTAAATATAAAATTATGAACTTTTGTTACGTTTTAAGGACTATTTTTGAATTACACATCACAGTAAAACTGTTTTTATGATTGAAAATAAAACAATCTGCCCTTTTTAAAGATGATACACCACTTTTTTTCTTTTTGTGGCAAATCACAATTAAAAGTTGATTGTAATTTTCCAAGAAATTCAGGTGCTGTTGGCTTTGTATTTCTGTTCAATTCAAGTTTATTTTATTAAAGCCTGCACAGTAAACAATGTTACATGACAGAAACAAAGCAATTGCTGTTTTGTACGAAGGTTTTCTCTAGCCAACTTAGTCTTTGTTTAAAGACAGCAAAAGTAGAATTGAGAATTTACATATGCTGAATTACTGTAGCTATCAACAAGAAATACATAAAAATGCATTTTAGTATATATATATATATTTAAAAAAAAACAACTAATTCTCCACAACCAAGTAAGTTGGTATGGGTTAGTGTTCAGACATTTGTTTCATTTTTTATCATTTTGTTTTGGACTTTTCCCAGAATGAAATTTGGAGATGTTTTGAACTGAATTTGTGTGAAAACTTTAAATTCTTCTTTAACAGCTGAATATTCAAACACGCCGCATTAAGTCATGGTCCAACTCCGATTTACGCCATTTTGTTCCAGTTTTATGACCCATACCCAGACCCGATGACTGTCAGACCTGAAGAAACAATAAATCACTTAAATAAAACCTGACAATATTAAGTAGGCTGAAAGTTCTCACATCCTGCTTCCAGTTAAAAGAGAATTTAAGAAAAGATGACAATGTTTTGACATCTATTAGCTTGTAAAGAGTGGAAAAGCATTTTAAGGCTTTTTTGAGGCCAGTGAACCACAGCAAGAAACATTTTTCACAAACAGAGAAAGCATGAAACTTTGCTGAACCTTCCCAGGAGTGGCTGGCCAATTAAAATTACTGAAACATCGCCTCAGTGACTCATACAGGAGGTCACACAAGAACCCAGAATAGCATCCGAAGCACAGCGGTTCCTGAATAATAAGAGTGACTTGGCAAAACGGCAATTGAGTAAAAAAAAAAACAACAACAAAGGTTTTTGTCAAACTTTTACTTTTGGGAGTTGCTGTTACTAAAGGCAACACAGCAAGGTCAGAGGGCAATAATAAGACCAGGTTCATTTGGATTTTCTTTCCATAATGAATGAGATTATTATTTGAAAACAGCATTTTGCATTTACTTTCTCTGTCGTATATTAAAATTAGGTCGGTGATCCAAAACATTCTAGTGTGAAAAAAAGCAAAAGTCTTCAGAAAATTATTATATCTGATTATTTATCTAAAGAATCCATGAAAATACTAAACCTTAAAGAAATATACATTAAAATGCAAAAGTTTAAGTTAGAGGAGACTATTTATTGTATTGTTTATCATTTATTGTGGTAAATTTATTATTTATATTGTATTTAGCTGAATACAATAATATTACATATTTAAATATTATGAATTATATTAATAATATATTAATTTATATATTATATAATAATACAAATAAATATATAAATTATAGATTGATTAACATATATTAATATACTTTTTTATGTTATATTAAATCATATTTAGTTTCCCTTTGGGATTAATAAAGCATTTTTGAATTTGATATTTACGGTATACTTCAATTATTGATGTTTAGAAACCTGTCCCTATTGGTGGGATTGTTTACTTTACTATTTTCTCCACCGCTTGTTCAATGAGAGTATTGATATATTTGAAAATGTGGCTAAATATGCTTACTGTGTCACACTTTTTTGTGTGACTGATGTCCGAAAGAAGCGTATTGCAAATGTGTTTCTCAAGAGCATTATTTATGTTTGTGGTGTCACAGCCACTCAGTTACCTAAAAAAAAACCCAACATAATAGTCCTTATCAGTTTTATTATTACAATAGTTGCACAAAATATAATGTTAAAACTTTAAGTCCTCATTGCCCAAACCTGTTTTAAATACAAAATGGGCTGAAGATGGACACATCTTCACTCCAGTGGAAAAGGAAGTGAAACCAGTGACAAGGTGCACTCTTTGTCATTCAAATAACCTCATGAATATTTCAGCGCTCTGATCTGTGATGGGCTGGAGTGGGCCGTGATCGTCACTGTGGAGTGGATTTAGTCAGAGCAATGACCTGCATGTCATTTTAGCGGGAAGACAACACAACTTTAGCTTTTCTGTCCTTGAACTAGGCCTCTATGTGCACTTCTTTCTTACTTTTTAAATAAATTAAGCATAATTGCAAGTGCCTTATAGTCACCTCTCTGTCTGGGTCAAGCTTGATGTGTCTAGCTTGAACTTAGCCTGTGGGCTGACTTACTGGGTGAAAGGTAAACCCTAATGAGGCAAGAGGAGGAAATGTTTGTAACCTGCCCCTGCACCCTGAATAGAAAAACACAGGAAGTGAAGGTTTTCTTGACATGTCCCCTTTTAGGTCCTCCTGTGAAGTGGCTTTAGCACTCTCAAGCACTTCTCCGTGTCATAACGCCATCATATAAGGCAGCATATGTGCGTTAATTATATGCAGCGTGGCCCCTTTAAGAGCTCTAATGTCCTTTTTTGAGAATGAGTGCTGATAGTGGTCGCTGGGTGGTGGTGGGGGGGGGGAGTCTGGCTCTAATCAGGGTTGCCAGATCTGACTGACTGTTTCCAGCCCAAACACAATGTAGAACTCAACCAACTCCTAAAAACCAGCCTAAATCTCGACTTCTAATGAAACTTGTCTTAATAGTGTCAGATTTTGTCACATATACTATGTTCTTTTAAAGCAGAGGTGTCCAAAGTGTGGCACGAGGGCCATCTGTGACCCTTGAAATTGTTTTGTTTGGCCCCTAAAAATTTGGGCAACAAAATAGAAAACAGCTGATGATTGAAAACATTTGGAAATGGTCAGTTATTCAAATGTCCAAAGCCCTTTTTATGTTTTAAATAATTTTATCATATAGCCTACAGACTTATTAAAATTTTTTATTTTTGAGCATGTAAAACTAATTTTAAAAAATTATAATGCACTCTATTTTTGTATGACGGAGGACTAATACCATGCTAAGATTTTTAATTTTTATGCAGTTGGCGAAACCTTAAACTGATGCTGTGCAAGTTATTCAGGTTGTTGCTACGTAACCAGAGAGCGCTTGAGCTGCTAGGTGAATAAAGAGTTAGTTGATGACGCCATAATCCTTACCTGTTTGTGAGAGGCTGAGTGGCAAAAGTATTTCCTCTACCTTCATCTGTTCGGTTCTGGATTGTAGTTCAGCAAAACTGAGTCGTTGACGGTGTCAAATTTGGCAGATTTTAGACGTTTTAAAAATAAATTAACCACCAAGATAAATGCAAAAACGGCATTTTATTGAAAGTTTTTGTACTTTCCTGCCACACAGTGACAACTATTTCAAAGAAACACTTTCTAAAAACCTGCCACAATTTGTGGAGAGTTGCCCAAATTTGAACAGCTTTTTTTTGTGTGTCTTTTTCTCCCAACCCAATTGGGTGGAAACCAACCCAATCTGGCAACACTGGCTCTAATCCCAATCGCCCACCCCTCGACCCCAATGCTAACCCTGTCCAAACGCATGTCCTTATCTACCATTGGAATGCAACAACTGCGCCGGGGAGAAAAGAGGAAGGGGTGGGCTGGCTGGAACCCCCTTGCCAGACCCCCGAATGGCTTCTGAATCCACCCCCCCTCCTCATTTACCATACTCCACCTCCAAGCGAGCGACGTGCCCGGCTCCAACTAAAAAAAAAGTGAGCTAGACACGTTCAGAAGATAGGAGAGAGAGAGAGGGAGAGCGAGCGAGAAGGAGAGTCAGGGACAGGCAGTGCTGAAAAGGAGAGCACAAAGAGAAGGAAAGTGGAGCAGGGGAGGGGAACAGGAGGCTGGGAGAAGGGAGAGGGAAAGACAAAAGAAGGAGAGGGGAGACGTAGCAGGGTGAAGCGGAGGGGACTGAGCAAATGGCTACGGAGGAGACGGCGGGGGGAGCCAGGAAAGCCACCAAGAGCAAACTGTTTGAGTTCCTGGTCCATGGAGTGGTGAGTGGCGCTGTCTTGTCATTCCTGCTCTGGCATGCATCTGTGTGGATGAATCGGTGTGAGAGAGAGAGAGAGAGAGAGCTGGGTTAACGCTGGCCATGTGAAGGTTATTTCCAGCCCCTCGAATCTGTCAGGAGAAGTGGAGCAGCATGAATGGAACAGGAGGGGAGGATGTTGGAGCTCGCATGCACATGAAAAATCACAGAAATCGAAGCAGAGCTGCAGAAAGCAAGGAAAGAAAAGCAAGAAAAACAGCCAGATTCCCTCCCCTTTGGCTAGCAGAAACGCACACTGCTTTACTGGGATTCAGAGACCCCAAGAGAGAGAGGGAGAGGGTGGGAAATGACGAGTCCTCTGGAGTATCCTTCCAGGAGGCGTGCTGCTGCCGCCGCTGCTGGTCCGTGGAAGGATTTGAACCTGTAAGGTCACCAGACGACAGATGTATAGTGTGGAAGATGGAGCCACGGCTGGCAGAACAATCAGTCCATTCATGTGAAGCTAGCATGAAATGTCAAGCCCAGTGTTGCTCATGTGGTTAGAGGTTAGACAACTGTTACCATAAGCTTCCCTGCACCACATGGACTGGAGATGGGTTTGTTTGGGGGAGTAAAAAAAAAATCTCTGGTAAAACTTCACAACATTTACCTTCAAGAACGTCTGTGGTGTCTCAGCCGTTCTGTGGCTTGTATGCTCTTGTGACCCCTAGTCTCACGTCTTTTGGTCAGTTCAAACAAAAGATGTTCGCTTTGAGATGCATGCAATACGTTTAGAGTAAAACAATCAATTTTGTTTTATATTTTATTGCTAAGTTGGTAAATTTCACAAATTATTAATCGGATAATCAACATTCTGTTAAAAATGTCAAGGTGACATTATCAAATGATGATTAGTTGTGATTAATTAATTTAAATAATTGTCAACTAGTTTGGCAATCAACTAATTATTAACTGAGACTCTAAAAAATTAAATTTGCTGAAAGAACAACATTTTACGAGGAGTATTTAAGCCAAAACTGCTCATAAAAATGTAAAGTTTTTCTTAAAGACAAAAAAAACTTTGCCTGTAAATGTATTCTACCCAAATTCTCGTATCAATCACCTTTTGTCATCCAATTATTTCATAGTTAATCAAGAAAAGAATCAACAGATTTGCCCCAAAATGTATTTATAAGTCAAGAAGAAGGTCTGAGCTTTTCACATATTGATATTTACAAAAAAAATGTTCATGCAATTTTTTTTTACTTTTAACACATTATTTCTTACTTTACAAAATGCATTAATTTAATCTAAATTAACAGGACTGTGAGGAAAAAAATCCTGCTACAGTTTTCTTTTATTGCTCATTTGTCACCTTTAATTGTTTTAATCCAGTTACATTAGATGGTTTAAAGCTTAAAGACTCTGTTAAAATCATATCCAACCTCCTGAAACATATTTAAGACCAACTTGGACTTTGACAACCCAAAAACTCTGAAATTAATTTCCTGCTCCATGACCCAAGCGTGCTTGACCTTTAGGTCAGAAACGGTGGCTTAATGTGGGTCCGTCAATTACTGCTCCTTGTGTGAAGATACTGTTACGTTGCTAAATGCTAAAGCTAGTGTGGACGTTTAATTTAACCATTGCTATTTTTACTTCTGTCTTGACTTAAATTATGTCTTTGTTTAAGAACCTTTTAATTAGCATTTCCATGTTTTTTTTAAAAAAGTATGATGTTCTTCACTGCAGCCTTTGTAATGTTACTGGTAAGTTGCTGAATGCTAAAGCTAGAGGTCATTTTTTTTGTTTCTGTCCTTACATAAAACTTGCTATAGTGCACAAAATATTTGCTACCATCTCATTTTACTTTAAGATTCTTTTTTTTTTGTTAATTTGCTTCCCCTATTTCCTCATTAATGTGTTACAATTGAAAGAACTCAGTGTGCAAAGCCCACAGACATCAAAAGTACTTCTGGATTGTATTGTGCTTTATTTTTATTAATTTGTACATTTAAAAGACTGAGCTGCAACTCTTTATAATGATGTTATTTACATGTGATCTGATTTCTACACTGGCAAGAAATAAAACAAAGGAAGCAAGTTTGTTACTTGTGTAAAATAAAATCTGATCATTCAGGGAGTACATAAACATTTCTGCTTCTCAAATTTAAAAAATATAGTAGTTTCTGTCAAATTATATAACTTATTCCACTTTATGGCTAACAAGCCAATACAAAATTAAGAAAATAATATATAATGTTTTGGTGCAAATACCTTGCCATGATCAAATTTCAGAATCTTGAATAATAATTTGAGCCGTCAGACAGGATTTTGTGTAGCTAAATTTTGTAACGCTCCTTCAACATAAGTGGTTAAAACAAAGATGATCTGAAATCTCAACTTGTGCAACTAGTTTTAGACTGAGCTCAGTTTTAATCGAGGCTGATGTCAGCTTTAGCGACACCAGCTTGATTTATAGACTGAAACCAGAAGAGGCATTGTGTCTTTGACAGGAGCAGTCATTAAAAGGGTTTTGGGGGACTGAAGCTTGCAGACACACTTTAGGAAACAATGACCCGCGTGATTGATGAGCCAGATGAGCATGTCCTCTCAACAGACCAATTAACCTTGATGAAGCTCTGGCTGCTCAAAGCCAAATATTTCCCTCTGCTTACGTTTTTCTCATGCCTTCGTCTTCCTCCTTCATCTTCTCTTTATCCCCGCCCCACATCTGAAGATGGAAAAAACTTGTTATAAAAGTTGCAGGAGGTCCTTTTGGTGTGTGTTCTCCAAAATGGAGGGGTATTTATCCCAAGGGACATGACTTTGGACAGTTTGCCAGCTTGTGGCAAGCGATGACGTCTCATTTCCTTTCATGGTTGAAATGAGCAAAGAAGAAATGCTTTTTGAGGCAGAAAACGCAGATTTAAATGTTTTTGTTTTATTTGTAAATATAGCAATCAGAGTTATAGTTTCAGCTCCAGCAGGATTTGACTGAGCTTTGGTTCAATGGCTGATGGGTAGGCTGAGGCCTCCTCCTCTCCCTCTCTCATTATCTTGCTTACCTCCCAGCTGTCTCTGGCTTTGGAGGTCAGCGAGGGCCAGGTTGTAAGAAAAATCCTTCCAGGGCTCTTTGTGAGAAACTCCGATAAGCCAAAACATGAACCGAAACTCTGTTGCTGTGTTGTCTGAAACATTCTGCACATTTTTCTACCAAACTCTCAGACTAAATTTTCTTTGTTGCAGTCCTTAAAAAGAATGTGAATGGTAGTTCTCAGCTACCTATGGAGGAGTTTGAACCATACAAATCAATCAGTTTGTGAGGAGCTATCAGCATATGCACAAACCTTGTGACAGGAATTTAGTCTGCAAAGTAAAATAAAAGAAATTCAACATCCACTTCACTCTCCAAGCACAATGTGCCGGTTACCTTGAATTATCCACAATAGACCAAAGACCTTGCCATGATCAGTCTTATCTGAAATTACTTTTTACCAGATAAATTGTCATTTAATGTGAAATATGTGTTTGGATTTTGCAGTTTCTGTTGAATATTTTTTCAATATGAATTATGAGTGCAGTAACCTCATCTCAAATTATAAAACCACCTGCATAGTCGTGTTACTGAAGCATTTTATTGATTTAAATAACACTTAAAGTACGAATTTGCTCTCCTTGTCGGTCCAGCTCATGGGTTTATGTCTGACCTTAATTGGAGGGAAATTTATTATGTGTCCTCATCACAGAATTAGCAGATATTTCAGGTGATGGGGAAATTTTCCCACAGAGCTTAAAAGTAATTTTTAATCCAAACTAATTTATTAATTTTATTTTGTGTTTGGTAAAATTAGGTGCTAAAAGGCTTATTTAAATAATAGTATTTTTTTCCAAGCAGAACTATTTTTCCTGTTTTAAATGATTAGAGGTCAACATCTTAAGAGGAAAAAAATTAATAATTTAAACATACTAAATCAATCTCCAGGCATTTTTCATTAGTATCATTTCATGAAAATGACAAACATTTAATTGAACATTTTCACAAATTAATGGTTCATCATTAGATGAATGTGGCTGTCAAAGTGGTAAATAAAGAATTAAAAGCTAATTAGTCGATTGTTATTGTTGCTTGAGGTGTAATTGCTTCCCAATAATAGGAGCATTGAGATACAAAGGAGCATTGAGATACAAAATTAACTTATGTTGCATTTCTCAGCATCTACTTTAATGAACATGCAATTATTTTTGGAATATAATTGTAATACTTTTATATAGAAACCCAAAATATTAAACAAGATTATATGTAGGGCTACATGTAACAATTATTTTAGTAATTGATAATTCTGACAATTAATTGCATAAAGGCACTCTCAATCCTCCTTTATCTGTTTATCTGTGACATCTGTTCCCATGCTAACTAGTTTGAGCATTCACAACATGCTACGCTAGCTTCAGCGTGCCAGAGAGCAAGGTTGGGATTGTGATTGACAGCACTAAGACCCGCCTCCTGGCTTTGTTTGGTCATTCCTAGCTTGCAGTGGAAGAATTCAGAGAAACTAGAATTTTTCACAGATTCTGTCTCATACTGTCATGACATAGTGACAGTTTCAATAATTAAGTAAAGAAATTTATATATATACATATATATAAGTTACATACTGCAGCTTTAACTCATAAGCAAGAAAGAAATTCTTTAAAGAGGCAAAGTAAAAAGCGAAACGTTGCAGTGAATTTCTGTAGCTGACTGAGAGGCTGGTTGGGTTGTGCTTTCAGACAGCGTGGGTTAAGTTTGGCCTCTCTAAATCCCTCCAGCTTCTCTGAGATGCCAGCACACTTCTCAGATAGCCGTCCACATGGCAGATTCGATCGCTGGACGGCTGGCGGAGCCCCGGGCGAGTGTTGGAGTCAGTTCAGCAGGTCACAGTATAGAGTGGGGCCTTCATTGTGTGTTTGTGTGGATTTACATCATCTTGCTATGGATTTCTGTATCTGGTATCTGGTGGGCTCGGGTTCTCCTGACGACCTCCTGTCTGCTGGGTTCAGTCTGATCCCTGTTTCATCATCTAATCCATGAGGGTAGACTCTAAAGACTGAGAAAGGTGACAACATTGGAGCAGGAGGATGTCTGGCCATATGTTGTTTTATCCCCTCCAGTCCGGAGACGCCTCTTGGTTGCCATATCCCCTCCCCCCTTAAAGACCGAACTCCTCGTCAGAGTGACAGGAACGTCTGTTTGGACTTCTGATCACGTGTTATATCAGCCTGGTCCATTTCAATGGCTGCATGTTATGTCTGCCTTCATTATGCCATCAGAATCTGCTTGCAGTGGCGAATTTTCTCCCAACACATAAATGTATTGAGTCATGTAATATTGTTTGTTTGCTCACTGTCGGTTCTTAGTGTTTTTGTTTGTTTTTCACTGTGTTTGTGGAGAGTCTAAAGATCAATTTGGATTTGTGTTTGTGGCAGGGTTATGATAGTTTTGGGTCTTCTTTCGTTGTGACTTTTTGTTTGACTAATTCAGTTCGTTTTAATTAGTTTTTAGTGTGTTTGCTAGTTTTTATTAGTTATTACTTCAATACAGTTTTTTCCCCATTGATCACCATTTTTATCTCAGTTATGAAAGTGTTTTCTCAGTTTCAGTTTTTGTTGTTTTGGTAGCTTTAATCAGCTAAAATAACGTTGGTGTTTGCTTGTAAACTATTTGCATCGCTCAAACTTTTCTTTATTGTCTCATGTTACAACTCCAGTGTGTTTTTCTAAGATTTAAGTAATAGTGGAAGGAAATTGATACCAGGTTTTCATGTTTGCGAAACTATCTCAAGCTCAGTCAAATCAGATTGAGATCATCAATTTACAACTCCTTGCACAGATTCTCAGTGGACATGTTTCCACTGAGCAGGCCGCTGCGGTTCGGTACGCAATTTTATGGTCTGGCATATTCAGGGAAATGTTTCCACTGCTAATTGGTCTCTGACTGGGCAGTACTTTGTCTCATTCATGGTCCAAGTAGTGGCATTTTTCTGTCTTCAAATCAAAGGACTATGTTGTGCTGAATGGGTATAATAGCACTTTGCATCAATCTGATGGTTAAATAAGAAATATAAAACAATAAATATATTTGTTGTTGATTTTATACATCTATATATTTAGTAATTTAGCAGCAGAAAGAGGTTTTGCTTTGAAAATGTGATTAAGTAAATACCTGCAGTTAACTCAGTTAAAAATTTATATCTTGTCGCACCTTTCAATTACAGCTTTCTTGTGTGGAAATCGACCAATTTTCAGTTGCCTGAAGGTGTCACGATCATCTGTTTAAATCATTTCATGCAAATATAAACACTGAGTTTTGTCTCAGAGATCAATGTCTTTTTGGTATGAATTGTGTGGAAAAAATGACCTTGAAGATACTGATGGAAGCTGGTAAGAGAGAAACTAAAAGTGAAATAAAAATCTCAGTTACATTTTGTAAATAAACTGAGGAACAAATACTCTGCTTTTGGAGGCAAGTTCTGCAGTCAAAGAAAAGTAAAATTGAATTTTGCAAACAAAATGACCATTATTAAACCTAAAGAAATATGCATCCTGATGTGTGTGCATGTTTTGCTGCTGGAAGGACTGGTGAACTTCACAGTATAGACGGCATCAGGGTTGATGTAAAAATATTGAGACATTAAATCAGCTATCAACCAGAAGGTCAAGCTCATAAATAGGGCTGGACAATAAATCAATAACAGTATTGTGATAGACACATGATCAATATCAATAGATAATATATCTGATATAATATCCACTGAATTCCGATCCAGAAAGGCACAGCATTATGGGAGATGTAGGCAGAGAAAACTCTTTAGCTGCTCAACCAGCTATGGTTTGTTGGTGTCTTCCAGTTTATCTCAGACTCCAGGTTGGAGTGAAAGACAGTTTAATTGGAGCGGATTGGACATTGCGGACTCAGTCTGTTGTAGCTGAACAGAAACAGTCGGAGGTCTGTGCTCTGGGGAGGCATTTGCTTTATTTCATGCAAACAGTGCTTTGGTTTCAGACCATAAACCAAGGCCGGGGGCAGCTGTTGCCATGAGAATGGCAGGAACAGGTGAGAGACCCAGCTGTCCTCCGCCGTCAGGAAGTCAACATGGGAGACTGTTTGCATTATTAGGGTTGAAAGTGATTTTAGATTACGGTTTTAGTTCCGTATTTTTGCCGTGTGAGATCAAAAGATCAAGACTTTTGATCTCAGTGCAATTCCTCTTGTTTCTGGTATTGTTTTATCTCAAAAGAAACGAACAAGACAAATCACTGCTGGGTTGTTTGGGGGGTTTTTGTCTTAATCGAATTCAGTTGACTGCATGTAACCCAATTTACAATATATGGTTTAAAAGTATCTGTACCCCATTAACTTTTCAAATTTTGCTGCAATGCAGCCACAGAAGTCAGTGTTTTATTGATAATATGATGAGCTGAGTTGAAATCCAAAAGAATATATTTACAAAAAAACTATGGATCTCATAAAAAGCGTTCAGAGAAACAAAATGGACTTTGACAAAATAAAATGTTAACTCAACAAACCAACTGACTGCAGACACTAAATACAACTGACCTAACAATAAATGACACAAGAATAAATTCCTAGTTCTACTGGCAGATTATTTCTCTTATAATCTGGAAAAAAAAATCTGGAAAAAAAAATGTTTATAAATGAAATAATCTGCCAATAAAACTAGTACGTTTTTATCTATATTAAGAAATTATTGACTGAAAACAACCTCCTATATTTTCCTGAAAAGTAACTTATAACTAAGTTATTAGTTATTTACCTCATAACTGCTTAAAAAGAAAAAAACAGCAGTGTGAAGTGAAAACTGTGAATGAAACAAAGAGGAAAAGTCACACCAGCAGTTTGACTGAATTTCAGATATTTAAAACAAAACAAAATTATAATTGATATCAACATATATGAAGCGTAAATCAGTCAGCCGGTTTGCCCAGCCCTACTCATTACTGAAGTTATTTCAGTAAATTATAAACACTAAAGATAATATCACTTGTTTGACCTCTTCGTTTTGCATTCTTCCCATTCAGCGTCCTGGCATGCCGTCTGGAGCGAGGATGCCCCACCAAGGAGCCCCCATGGGTCCCCCTGGGCCACCGTATGGTGGGAGTCCAGCAGTGCGGCCCGGCCTGCCCACCCCGGTGATGGAGCCGAGTCGTAAGCGGCCCGCTCCAGCCCAGGTCCAGCAGCAGCAGCAACAGCAACAGCAGCAACAACAGCAGCAGCAGCAGCAGGCCGTGCAGAACCGCGCCAGGAAGTGAGTTTTAAATCAGTGCAGATTTAAATCCAGCTGCATGGCTTGATTACAGGATCACCTTTTGTGTCTGCTTCTGTGTGATTTTAAAGGCAACAATAGCTATGGTTTCACTGGAAATTAATTCTGAAGGAATCATTTTATGACATGAATCCATCACCTCCTGAAAACTGATTATTTACTAGAAGATCAAAAAATGTAGCTTTAATATCTAGCTAAACATCCTTAAAAATGACAAATCTGATTGATGTAATAATAATTATTTATTTACAGTTTCCTCTGCTGTTATTGGCAGTTTTGAAGTTCTTCCTCCTGACTTTTCGCCTCTTTTTAGGATGAAAATCCCTGGTGAATTGCTGTTTCCGCTTTCTGTTTTAGTTTTTGTTTCCCTGTTGGAGCTCCTGGCAACGACTGATTGCAATCACTGATTTCTTTTGAAACTTCTCAAACGATGATGTATGGCATGAATAAATTTCTGGGGGGGGTTTTCCCCTGGATGCCTGAGAACACAGTAATTGGTTTGACTAGAATTATAAACAGTCACTTTGCCTAACCAAGATTCCCAAGTATTTGAGTTTAGGCATTGAAATTTCTGATGTGAATTGTGCATCAACATGTGAAATTGTACTTCATTTTTCCTGCAACAGTCTGTATTACAGCAGTGCTGAAAAAGCTTCTGACAGAAGACAGGATTTTGTCATGATTTTCTTAATTTTATGAAGAACCCTTTTTGCACACTAATCTTCATCTAAAAGAAATGATCTAGCTTTCGAAGAGCAAAATGGGTTTTAATGTCTATTCCATTTTCATATGACAAAAAGTATATTTTAAAAACTATAAAAAGTGGAAGTAATGTCCTAAATGTTTTGATCTTTGAGTGGCTATAAAAACACAAAGATTGAGAAAGTCTCTACATCTGGAAGAAAAGCATGAATGATGGAGAAATCAAAAAGCAGCCCTGCTTATTTTTAGTATTTGCAATTATTCACGCCACAATTTTTATAAAAACCGGAAGGATAAAAATCAACCTGATGAGATGTGAAACCATGGCTTTTTGTCCGCCTCGTCTCAGCATCCATTTCGGCCTTTGTTTCCACTTCTCACTCGCTCATCGGCTCTCTCCCTCTTCTTATTATAATCTTGCCTCTGTTTTCTTGCTCACTGCTTTGTTCTTCTTTTTCCTGCTGTGCACAAGCGATTGAACTTCATGTCTCAAAAGAGATTTTTTTCTGCGTTCACAGTATCTCACTTTTCCATCACAAAGCTTTCTGCATCTGCAGGGTTTAATTCGTCTAATGCCTGAACATCTGTAATTCAGGCGCCTAAACACACACACACACACACACACACACACACACACACACAGCAGTGTTTCAGGTGTGGTCATTAGAAACACAATCAATACGCACACCTCTTCGTTTCATTCTCTCACTATCTGCAGCTCAATTGATCCACTCACAATTAAGCAGGCTTGTCGAACATTTTAGAGGAAATGTTACTGAACCCCCAGAGCAGAATGTCTGGCTGCCGAGCGTCTGATCAATGCGCCAATGTGACCCGTCCAGGTGTCTTTGCGTCGTTTGTCTCTTAGACAGCGTTCTTCTGCTGGCAAACAGGTTGGCGTTCACCTCCGCTGCTGCCAGCGGAGGGCGGACCACCTGTGTTTGCAATGTCACTGAGCCCTCTGGGTCTGAGCTAAAAGCAAAGTTGCTGATGGAAGCATGTTTTTTTTTTACCCAGGCTGGCTTTGTTGTGTAAATACTTGTCTGGAAATTTGGTACTTTGATTTAAATTGAACAGATTTACCTTAAATTGATTTTCTGTCTTTGTGGTTTACAGCATTAGATTTCAGAGCGTCACCTTGACTCCAAATAAACATCTTGTCCCTTTGGCCAAACAACTCGGCCTCTGTCAAACTTTTCTGCATTAAACATGAGAGCATTACTAATGATTATTTTGGACTAATTTGATGATGATTTTTTTTTTTGATTAACTGATTAATAATTGGAAAGCGATAGATGCTTAGAAATTGAGAAAATTGGTACATAACATTTTTGCTCCATTGCTGCTTCAAGTGGTTTGTTCTTTTAGCAAATGGTGTTTATTTGAGTATATTCTGGTTGACAATTAATTGATTGCTAAATTAGTTATCAATGATTTTAATAATCGATTAATCATGATTAATTGCTTGCATTTTTTTCATGAAAATGTAACTTCAGGATTTGTTTGATCTGTATTTAAGCCCATAAATGTTGTGTTTTTACAACAACGTTCTTCATTTAGATGATAAAATCTCAAACCAGTCGTTCATGTTTGCACAAAGCACTGAGTTAAATGGAAGCGTTTGTGTTTTTCCTCAGCTGTTGTGTTCCTAGAGGTTCACTCTTTCTGCTAAAGTATGCATGATGTTTTCATCTGCACCACATGTTCATCACATCAAAATATGAGCTGAAGCAAAGGAACGATTTCTGCTCAGGTTCACCCTCCACCCTGTGATCTCATATATCAGTGTATTGTCTGTCTCTGTGTCTGAAGCATGATTGTTTTGGTTCCCTGAGAAACTCTGTTGAATGAGTGCGTCCCTCGGATGAGCAGGAAGCCTCCCAGGTCCTCCTCCACTGCACGAGCATGGACACAGTTCCTTTCCCATCACAGCCTGGCCTTGTCCCAGTCGTAGAGTTTGCACCTACTAAGAGACCCTTGAACTTCACACAAGCCAACACACACTTATGGTAAAGATAGAAAGAAAAAGAAAAGGAGCCGACAGGTGTTTCCCCGCTCTGAGTAAATATGTTTCTCGCCATAACACTAATCGGACAACCTTCGAATCCTCACCAATTCATAGGAAGCCAGTTGGATTTCCCGGAGCCAGCGAGATGCCGGCGAGGCAGATGGACATGAGAGAGCCCCAATCAGATCCCACCCTTGGATCAAAGTAGGAGTTTATTCTGCTGCTGCATGCCCCTTGTCTTTCTTTTGATGACTCTGGCCTTTTTAGCCTCTCACCTGACACCAGCAACCCCCCCTGAATGAACTAGTCTGGCCAAACGTATGCAGGTTGAGAGGGGACCCCTCTCTGAACTGTAGTAGTGCATGCTTTGGCCTGGAGCATGGCATGAAGGGGACCAGACTCCTATTGCAAAGAATTTTTCAAACAGTGTAAGCTAGCAAATTGTTTGTGTTTTCTTTTTTATTCCCCTCTGGATGATTTAATCCTCCCTGCAGTGGGTTTGTTGCAGTATTTGGCATGCTGATAGAACTACTGCTTCACAAAGTGTTGCAGTGCTCTCTTACAAAAAATAAAACTAATTCTGCACTGCAACCCCCCCCCCCCCCCCAAATACCGTTGGTGCTGTGTAAGAGTAACAGTGTATTAGGGTCGCTGTAAATAGAAAAAAAGATTCATTAATTTATGCCAAAAATTCTCCAAAATTTTCTAGAAAAACAAGAAAATTTGAGTAGAAAATTTGCTAGAAAAAAACTAAAATGTTTAAATTAATCTCTGACGTTTTTGGGAAATAAAAACCTTTAAAAAAAAAACCCTGAGTTTCATAAGTTGCAAATTTGCTAGAAAAAAATTTTAAAATTTTTTTACGATTAATATCAGAATTTTTTTAGATAAAATTGGGAATTTCTTAGTTTGAAAAGTAAAAAAAAAAGACTTTTGAAACTTTTTTTAGCATTTGTTTGGCTTTTCAAACTTTCCTTTTTTTTCTAGAAAATTTCTGTGATTAATTTCAGATTTTTTGGCAGAAATGTTCTCCTTTTTTTCTCCAAATTATAATGTATGTAATATACCGTCATTGTAAACAGTAAGAAATATGTCATACTAAGTAAGTTTTTGGTGTAGTTCGTTGCATAGTTATAGTCAGTCCCTCCAGTTTCTTGATAAATCCATGGAAATTTACACAAAATCAACAGATTATTTGGACTAATGCATAATCAGTCGTGAGGTTGCTGGAAATTTTTCACAAAAATGATCATGAGAGTGCTTACTCTGACCTGCAGTTAGTACTATTTCTTACTTCTACTTCATTCAATCTTACTTGGCGTAAAGTTCTAGTGGCGAAGAACAGAAATATGTGGGAACAAAGTTAGACAAATTAGAAAATGTCAAATTAAAGGTAGAATTACATTTTTTCATAAAACATTTAACAGTAAAGTAAATCAGCTTGCTCACAAATAGGTTATCTGTCAATTTATATTATTTAAAAAAAAATAAAAGTTGGTAATTGAACTTTTTAAAATAAATTGAATGTGTTCTAAAACTTTTAAAACCAACAATAGATCTAATATCACATTATGTAAGTAGGCCACATTGCTGGTTATTGATATGGGCGGTTGCTCAGGGTGACATTAAGAGCAGGGTGAAAGTGCACTATATAAAATAAATGCATTTATTTGTCAGTTCCCATCTCTTTCAAGCCAGTGCAGTCAGTGATGAGTTGATCTCCTGCATGCTGCTGAGAACAGGAAAGGTTTTTTTGCATTCTTTGTGCAGGGCTGCCAAACAAACTACAATTCATTTTTGGAAAATAGTTTGTTTCCTCTTCAAATCAGCAGTTTGCAAAATTGAATTTAGCAACATGTTCAGCCTATTTTTCTTTTTGTAAATTTGACCTTTCTAAAAAGCAGATAAATTGTTGTTTCTCAGTATCTTTAATGCATATAATCAGCAGCTCTATGAGCTGCTTTTAACCCTCTCAGGTTCTTTTCTGTGTGCGTTTAATACTTACTGCTTCTGCATTTTTGGATATTAACGCTTAAATAAATCATGATATGGTGTAATATTTCATACATTATTGCTTATCGAAAGCAAACAATTGATTTGCTAATTTGACATAATCATATTGTTGTTGTACCGTCATGCTGTAACTTAAAAATTAAAGATTTTATTTGCTTTTGCCATCCCTGCAGGTTGGCTTTATGCAGCAGCTTCCAAAATATTCAACCATCCGGAACATTTTGTTTTTGATTTTTATCATGTTACATTCTCAAACTGGGTTTTATCCAAGTAAACCTACACAAATTAGTGCATATTTACAAACTGATGCAAGTTTTTAAAGATTTTTTACTTTTACAAATCTGAAAAGTGTGGAATGATGTATTAAACCTCCTTGAGAGAATACATCATAAATTCAGTTACATACAGCTGCAAGCGATTTGGGATATTAATCTGCCTTTGGACATCTGGAGATCATATCTGTCATCAACCTTCAAGTCTTGCCATACATTTCCAGCTACATTTAGATCTCTGAGTAAAATATAAATATATTTTTAATAAAAACCATTCGCTGGCTGCTGTCCATGCAGTCTCAAGTCTTTTGCAGCCTCTACCAGGATTTCTCAAGGATTACACCGCTTTTAGCTCCATCCTTCTTGCCCAAAGCATGATGCTGCCACCACCATGCATCCAAATGGGGGTTGTGTGTTCGATGAGCCTGTTGACTACTTTTATGATTGCCTGACTCATCAGACTAGATCAGTGATCCGATTCCTTTAAAACCACATTACATTGAGCTTCTTTCAGAATTAGCTGTCACTTTAAATCGAAATAAGCTGTAGTTGGCCACGTCCCCCAACTTAACGTTTACTCTCATGCAAACAGATGTGCAATTATACAACCGTACATCTTTGAAAAGCATTAGTAGATCTTCCTGCACAACCAGTGAGAACGAAGCCAGTGATTTCTGGATGGTTATTCAACTACAAAACACTTGTTTTTTTTCCAGCTGCCATTGTAAACCCGGCTGATCAAACTTACTGGAGCTCTGCTTTGGTTGCTTGATGATGGGCTGAATTTGCTGGGGTTGCTAGGTAACGGCGTAGCAATTGTGTCTCATCAATATTGAGATTTTTGAAACAATTAATTTTCTAGACAGCAAAGCACATTAAAAACAGCTGGGTGTTTTTTAGAAGCAGTAAAGACTCAAATAGAACCATAAAACATGCAAAAAGTGAATTTTGCATAGCAAGTCCACTTTAAAGAGCCAGTTTTATTTACATTTTTTATGTTTTAAGATGAAGACAAATGGAAACATGTAAAAGAAAAAAGAGGATAGATACATTTTCTTCTGCCTTATGTGATAGAAATTCAATGACAAAATAGTAAAAACCAACTAAAACCTGTACTTGTTATTAGAGCTATAGCTATTTTATTTTTTAAGTAAAAGTAACAGCCACTCGCGTCTTGCAGACTCTTAGTTTAGACGGACGGCCACTTTTGCCAAACTCGTTCCATTTTCAGATAATTGTTTTATTATAATTTAAGCCTAGTTTGAGCTTTTCCACAACTTTCTACCTGGATATGTGCTGGTTTTCATGATGATGTTTATTCTCTAATGTCTGTAACAAACCTTCATAGAATAGCTGAGTTTACATCAAAAACAGATCTACTATTTTCCTTTACGATGGGTTGTATTAGTTTTTATTTAACAAAGTCAGATTTCTGAAAACCACACAATATTTTCCCTCCACTTCACAGTTATGTATTAATTTCCGTCTGAATAGGAAACATTGAAGTTGACAGAAATTGCAAAAGGTCAAAGGCTTTTTACGAGGCACTGTACGTAGGATGCAGCGTCCTGAAAGAAAGGTTATGTCTGCAGTGAGAACGATGAGTTTAGATCATCTTGAGATGAGTTATTCTGATTTGCTATCTAGTTGTTTTTAGACGCTGTCTTTTTGCAGACACAGATGACTTGCATGAGTTGCGCTGCATATATCAAGGTCCTCACAGATGTTTAATTTAGCAAGCAAAGGAAACTGTAGTGTGATTTTTTTTTTATCTTACAAGTGCATCAATTTTTTTTTTTTTTGTCTTCCTTAGTAGGTAAAAAGAAAAAATCATAAATCAATGAGGGCACATGCACACAGCGGAGACTCTGCATTCCTAAAAGCTTTTTTCAAACACACATCCCGTCGCTGATTCTGCAGTGTGTTTGTGCATCTGTCTGTGTGAGTTGTGGTGAATACGTTTCAGGTGAGAGATGTGTGATGTGACACTTTCTAGGCTGTTAGAGGCTCTCGCTCCCCAGGTGGACGACTGCATTTTCAGTGAGCACACAAACACAAGAGCGCACACACACACAGCTGGGATGCTGGGGTGCTGGATATGGCCCAGCATTTTAGCAGATGGCCTGGGTGCTACGCTATCAGTCACCATAGTAACATGCTCTCTTTTTCCTCTTTCTCTCTGTCTTTCTCTCCCTGTCTCTAGTGCTAAGAGAAGGAAAATGGCAGACAAGATTCTTCCGCAAAGGGTGAGGCTGCATATATTTACCTTTGTTGTTCTGTTGTTTTTTTCTGTCTGTCTGTCTGTCTTTTTTATCTCCTCTGTGCAAAGCAGAAGAAAAAAATAACAAAATCCCATATCGCTTTTTGATGCCATGGGATTCTTGGAAAGCGCAGAGGGCTGGATCATTATTTGTTATTTCCCAAAATGGGAAGGGAGAGGTCGGGCGGAGTGATGAGAAGTTTTCTTCAGGGGTTTTATCCTGTTATTTGGATGGCTGCTCGTTGATTTGCTCTGCAATTGTCAGGCTTAGATGGAAACACATGAAAAAGTGAAAGAGGCAGCAGATGACTCATGTTCCCACAGGTGAGAGTGGATCTTTGGAGGTGCAGATTTGCAAGTCCTGTCCGCTGAAGCTGCAGCTGCAGCTGGACTCCTGCCTTACCCCCTCTGACATCACCCAGACAGAGATAACAGCGAGCATGGCATGGCATGGGGCGGCACTGACAATGAGTCAGGCCTGGGGAATGTCGACCAGACTCCTCCATCTCAGCCCGGCAGATAGAGAAGGAATGAGAGGGAACAATGAAGGCAGGAAAACATGAAAGTAGCAGCAGCAGGGAGGGAGGACAGGGAGCTGGAGGAGTGTGTGTGCACAGTTCGGTAAGCAGCAGCAGCAGCAGCCTGTGATGCTGGGATGACTTTCATCAGTATGGTAATGCTTGAGTTCTGGCTATTTGTCTGCATCTCATTCTGATCCCCTGCTGAGCACTGTGAAGCGACTCATTAATGATAGCCAGAGCTGTGGCTCTAAGTTAGTTGAGTATTTTATTCAACGTCAGTTTATGTCACTACTGCAAGGAATCTCATTTATCCCCAGAGTGAAAAGGTATCTGGCTGCTTACATGTTTCTTCTGTTTAGTTAAAGTGTTTGAGATCATCAAATAAATTCGCATATCAAACAAAGATAACCTGAATAAATCCAAAAAGCTTACTAATGGTTTTATTTATCAAGGGAAAAAAGTTATCCAAACTAACATCTTTGTTACAAAATTTGACAAGTTTCCAGCCCAAAAACAATGTAAAATCCATCAAACTAAAAAGAAAACTATATATATTTATTTATGTAGATCTTTGACCCACTAAGTTTAACGTCACAAACAGGAGGGTGTACATTTTCCTTTAGGATTTTTATTGAAATCAGAATGAATATTTACACCAATTTCATCAAGATATTTCCAGACTATCACAGTGTCCCCTTTATGTTTAACTGTTGGTTTGTTGGGTTTTTTCTAAATAAGGCAGCTTGTCTGCTTCAATATTTGTACAGTAATTATGCATTTGAAGAATTTTTTTACTTTATAATTAACTGAGTGAAGGTTATTTTATGCAAATTTCACAACATGGCATCTCTTAATTCTGAGCAGATCCGGGAACTGGTACCTGAATCTCAGGCCTACATGGATCTACTGGCTTTTGAGCGCAAACTGGACCAAACCATTATGCGTAAACGCGTCGACATCCAGGAAGCTCTGAAGAGACCGATGAAGGTAAATAAAAATAAACCTCTTTTAAAACTTTTTAGTGTTTTTTTTAGCCATTTACATAGCACCTGCATTTTTATTTGTGATTATTATTGCATACTAAGCTGTGCTCCTGATTTTGCCCTTGTGTCAGCAGCAAAAGCGTAAACTAAGGCTCTATATTTCAAACACGTTCAACCCAGCTCGACCTGACGCTGATGACTCAGATGGCAGCATTGCATCATGGGAGCTGAGGGTAGAGGGAAAGTTGCTGGATGATGTAAGTTTTGTTTTATGCTCCCAAACTGTTTTGCTGTTTATAGTTAATTGTTATTTGCATATTAAGATTTTTTTCTAGAGAATATTGGCAGGTTGAAAGTAGAACTGGGTGATGAGGCTTAAAAATGAAATCCCTCATTTTTTTCCATCAAATTTTTATTTAAATTTATCGTGCCTTATTTTCTAAAAAAGAAATTGCAAATGACATATTTTCAACCGTACCTCCTGTGAGTTGTATCAGCTAAACACATTTTTGTTCAGTTATGAGAAAATAGTCATAATAAAGACACAATTTTACCAGAGAAACTTTGTGAAATTACAAGAAAAAAAGTTCTTTAATAAAAAAATATTTTGTGTGTTGAAGTTCTATTAAAATTACAACTTTATTGTATTTATTTTAATATTAAGACTTTATTCTCATGTTACTGCAAATGTATTCCTGTAACATTCTAACTTTATTTTAATTTATTTTTAAAAACTGCAGCCTGACTGTTATATTTCATCATAAAGTTGACCTGAGTTCAAAGTTCAACTAAATAGAAACTGTAAAACAACATCGTAAAACAAGATGGTCGCCTTTGGTATTGGTGAATAAAAAAATACAGACTTTAAAAAAAAAGTAATCTTTACAAAATAAAAGTTTTATTTAATCAATAAAATCTATTTATTGCCCAGCCCTATTTGAAAGTTGCGTTTTTATTTTGTAAGTTAAATGGCTGCTTACTCTTTATTAAGGCTTGTAATCAAACCCAGAGCTCCTCTGGGCTTTCAGTCACTTTCTTTATTGATGTACTTGTAATGTGTTGGCTGAGAGCACAACATGACTAAATGGTGAGAAAAGGCAAAATGATTTGTTTTGTGCTATAAGATCTGTGATTCATAACAGGGGTAAGCTTTCAAAACCCACAAATACTTTCAGTGAATCTTGAAGGAAGTGAACCATGAGAACGATTACCGTGTTATTTTCACTCTTTGTGGTTTATCTGAAGTAACGATGCGATGGGAGAATTTATGAATATGATCATTATTTATGAGACCCGGGACATGAAATGACTGGTTTTTTTGTCTGTTTTGCAGCCGGGGAAGCAGAAGAAGAAGTTTTCTTCCTTTTTTAAGAGCTTGGTGATCGAGCTGGACAAAGAGCTGTACGGTCCGGACAACCACCTGGTCGAGGTCGGCACACACAGCGACTTTGACACGCACAAACAGGAAGGTCACACAGCATGTGGTCTCATTAAAGCCAGAACTATTTGACCGAAAAGTTAAAAAATTTGATTTTTTCATACCAAATGCGATTTATGATTTCAATCAATTTTTTTTCTTGATTTCCTTTTCCAAAAAATAAATAAAAAAATTTTAAAAAGTGGCTTTTATCCCAATCATCCCTTTTGTAAATTGTACGACAAATTATTAGGGCCAGGTTATACGTTTTTTGTTTAATTACTAAAATATTGTCAGAATATTTACAGAATAAAGGTGTAATTTCACTAGAAAAAAAAGTCATTTTAATGATAATTTTTTTGTTGCAGTTATCATAAAATTACTTCTCTATTCTGCTGATAATACGACTTTATTCTGGTAATATTAAGACTTTATTCCTGTATTATTTTGCTTTTGTCATATGACTTTATTGCTGTAAAAAAATGTCGAGAAAAGATAACAAAAAATCTGAAAAATCTGTCCTTTAGCCAAACAATTCAACCCTGAGGTGTAGCTGAAAAAATTAAGGATATGTGGAAAAACAGCTCACTCTTTGCTGCCAACACTTTTGCCTTCTTATTTCTCTATAAAAATAATAACATCTGACCAAACCTCAACAAACCCAATCACCCAGAATTAGCACAATCGCCCTATTGCTGTTGAACACAAACTCAGTCTTTTTAGAAATTTTACTTGTCCTTTAGAAGAAGTCTAGCAGATCTGGTGAGAAACAGGACACTGTTTTACTTTAAATGAGTCACAATGTAACGTCTTCATGTTACGTCTCGGATTCGCTCAGCTTCTTGCCAAGAATAAACTCTGGAAAACTGACACAACTCTCACATCTGAACTGAAAGTAAAGCGAAGAGGTGGTCGGCCCGACACCAAAGGTGCTGCCAGCGGGTCGAGAAACAGTTCAGCTCATGACTCTCCCTTAAAACCACAGCTTATTATTGTTCTACGTCACTTATTATGAATGTGAAACAAAGGACATGTTTGATGTAAGCCTGAATGAAGAGAGACGGTTTTTGGAGTCTCACTTTACTGATACTAACAGATGAGCAACGCAGTAATCATGCAACGATGTGCAGAAGTTTTTCAACGTTTAAGGTTCTCCTGGCCTTTAGATGTTTCAGGGGTTTTTAGCTGCTTGTCTCAAATTTTTTATCTGGAACACTGAGATAACTGGAGATTCCTACTGGCTGTTGTAAGTTGTAAAAACTGACAAATTACTGCAGTTTTATTTTGTCTAAAAGGAAAATCTGGTGAAAATCTTGCAATTTATGTTTCGTTTAGCATCTACTACATCTATTTTTTCAGTTATCTTTGCTACTTTTCCATATTTTTTTTAAAGAAATAGGAACAAATTGTCAGTTTGTGAAAAATTATTTTTATAAATTTAACTCAAAAGTACCTCATTTATTTCAAAAGAAAATTAAATGTCTTCAGGATCACCTTTAGCAGTCAGTGTTGCAACAAGCCTAGAGAGGCCTCTGACTGGAGACTGTCGCTGTTTGATTGTCTCATGGCTGTCATGACAGTAAGCATTGCTAGTCCACCTCATTTGCTTTTGCTGCTTCTCTGTAAATCTTTGTCTGGCTGTATGGTGAGAAATCAGGCAGAGATGTTGGAGTAGGGGATAAGATCCTTGATGAAGTTCCTGAAGATCCATTTTAAACTGTTTTTTTGTTATGTGAAGGAAGTTCTTAGCCTCATCAAAAACATACATGTAGTGTTGCTTTAATTCTGACATGCATGTTTGAGAAACCCTTTTATCTCCATCGCAACTATTCAAGAGAGTTGAGAGAGGAGCCATGTTGTGATGACTTCCTGAAGGCGGAGTTTCAGAAATGGCAGGAGTTTTTAAAGAGACAGGCGCCCAATTTCATGGCGTTAAATTACAAAGTTTGATTTCTTTTTTTTTGTATATATCATTCTTATAACAACTGAAGTGTGTAGTAGAATGGCAGTATGTGACTGGAAAATGTATTAAAACAACCTAAAGAAAGTCTAGGTTACCACCTAAAATCTCAGTAATTTCAGTAGGTTTGTCATTATGTAAAAAAAAGTGAAAATGTTTTTTTTTTTTTACTGTAGGCAGGGAAAATGAGCCGCAGCGAGACCATTTAATTTCAGTCATTAGAGACTCAAGGTTTGACTTGGATTGGTAAAATAATGAGTTGTGAACATTCCTTGGCGATGCTCAAAATCAAAAATCCAACTCAAACCCTCAATAAAATTAAAAATGATGTATGAGTGAGTGAGAATGCAAAAATGCCAACTTTTAATTTGACAAACTGCATGTCAGCCGTGCTGTAAATTCTCCTTTTGCTCCGCCGGGACAACATTCACACGTCTTGAACAGTTTGTTCCATTACCAACACAGAGCGTCTCTGCGCCACATGAAGCACTGAATCGGACTTTCCAGCGCCGCAGTCAAGGTCAATGATAGTTTCCCTCATTGAAAATTCCCATTTTGTCATGTCTGGCTAAATGTTGAGGAACAATGATCCCATTTCGCCTGCTCGTCGTCACGTCCTCATTGGTTAAATTGGAAATAACGCAGGATGAGAGGCAGAGCAGCATGCAGATTTTTCCTCCAACAGCAGAAAAATTGCTTTTTAAAAAATTTCAAGCACACAAGGTTGTTTCAATATGCAGATGGTGTAAATGGCAGCCTGGTTATTATAAACAAACAGCAGCTGCCCTTCACTCTGCATCTCCATAAAAGTGTAAAAAGAAAAAAAGAAGAGTGAGAAAAAAATCCACTTCAGAAGTTTCAAAGTGAAAATGAGGCCTCTCAAGGTTCCTCATTTTTATCAACCCGACTCTCAGGTGCGTCTCTTTAAGTGATTTTCAATCAAAGGAATTTCATCCCCCTCTTGAGGTGCATTCAGTGCTGGATCTGCCCTGAGAGCAGCAGCCATTGGTTGAAAGAAAAATGTGTTTTTTATGCATCTGACAGGAAAAACAGAACTGAATCTTACTGAAGTCTTTGTGTTATTAGTTTTCTGCACTTGTTTTATTATAATTTACAGTCATGCTTTCATCTATTTTTCGGGCTGCAAAAAAGCACAAAAAAAAAAAAAAAATCACCCAAGGTTAGATCTATAAATCCTTTTTTATAGAAGACAAAAAAATCCTGGTTAACCCTTTGCTGTCTTGTGCTTCTTCTTCTCAATGTGTATGACTGCTTTAGAAATATTTAACCTTTTATCAAATAGTGCTGCCTGTGAAGGTCATTGCTCTGATTATTGTGTGTTAATGGCGAAAGATGTCCACTGTGTTACAGCTATTTATATAAATTTCATCCTAAAAGATCTGAAAACTTTAAAGCAGTTGCATAATCTCAGTCTGAAAAATCCAGCCTTGAGTTTTAGCGCATTTATATATATTTAAATCTATTTAATAAATATATTCCCTCTGTAACATAACAGGTTTAGAAATCAATGGTCTCACTACTTAAACTTACTGTCAGTAGATCACACTGCTAATTAAAATGTTAGCTGCTAACGCCAAAGCACGACAGCAACATGATGTTCAGCAGAAGCTAATGCTAAAGCGCTAACTTTTGTTTAAATTATATCTTCCCTTAAAAGACTAAAAGCTCCAATTTTAGTTTTAGCTCTATATCTTATATGTTTGACATGTTATATTTTGTTATATTTATATTGCTGCTTATATTCTGCTTCTTCCAATTGTTTATTTTTCTATGAAAGGTTTGAAAGATGAATTAATGAATGTTTCTATTGAGATGAAAACAATACACCTTACCAATACAAACCTCTATAGTATACTGTAAGTACTATAATAGCATTGTTCTTAGATTCCTCTAAATTTACAATTGATTATAGATTTTAGAGAAATAATAAAAATGTCTGTTTTAACTAAAATTAATTAAATGCAGGTAATTATAATTGATAGTCTACAAGTGTTTGATCATATTTGATATCCGATAAGTGGAAATAACAGACCAACTTAGTCCAATACTGAGTCTATGACAGATTATTGTTGTTTTCATTAACCAAATAATAAACATTATGTTTAATAATAATCTAATCTGGTGGTGCCAAAACTCTCCAGAGCGTAGTTTGAACTTTTTTGTGAAATTAGGTTTTGGTCTGTTTGCTCTTACAGTGGCACCGCACACCCACCACTCAGGAGACAGACGGCTTCCAGGTGAAGAGACCGGGAGATGTGAGCGTGCGCTGCACCCTGCTGCTGATGCTGGACTACCAGGTGAGGGCGCCACAGATACCTGACATGTACAGGATGGTAGATTTGGTATGAATGATCTAATATGGATTGTTTTTATAGTTTTTATTAATCAAAATGTCTCTGCAGCCTCCCCAGTTTAAGCTGGACTTGCGCCTGGCGCGCCTGCTGGGCATCCACACTCAGACTCGCTCCTGCATCATTCAAGCCCTCTGGCAGTACGTGAAGACCAACAAGCTGCAGGACTCGCATGACAAAGAGTACATCAACTGTGACAAGTACTTCCAACAGGTACAACATGTTACAGAAAATAAGGCTATTAAGGGCAAAAAAACAACATGAACTGGGCAGCTTTCCCAAAATATATAAAACCCATAAAAACTGAAAGTGGGCACTTTTTAATAAAAATTGATAAAGATGGCCGTGCGCAAAAGATAAAGAAAAACATGGCATATGTGGACTTTTTCTAATGCTATGATTATAGCATAGCAACTCAAAAATAAAGAGTGTTTGACTATGTAGCGATAGCACAGAAGTCTAAGATGAACAGCTGTCACCACTGCAGCATAATTTTTCTTTATAACTTCTGGGAAAAACTAACTTGTAATTTGAAGGTAGGTAATCAGTGGAGAACAAAATCAAAATGGTAATAAATCTTTTTAACTAAATTGCTGGCATGATGCTTTTTATCCTCACTGATAAGTTCTAAAATAATAAATGTAGCTTCAACCCTTTTTTAATTAAAATTAGATTTTTTTAAAATTAGAATTCCACAACTTCAAATTTCAATGAGGTGTAAACACAAAAAATACAGAAGCTCCTTGGCGTTAGACACTTTTACGAAATGGAAAGACAAGAAAACATTCAAAGGAGACAAATGTGTGTTCATCTAAATTGCCTAAAGTTACCAGAATCTGCATTCAGAGTAGTAACTAAAATTATTAAAACAACTGCAAGTGAGACAAACAAAAAGGCAGAATGGGGATGTTTATTTTTGCCACAATTCATAGTGACAAGAAAAATAACCAAACTTATGAGAACTGCAGTAAGAGAGGCATTTGGTCTCATTAAGGTTGAGTAACCATTAGATGGCCTCATTTTCCATCCATCCATAACAAACATAAGTATTTTTATTTCGCTAAGTTTTACTAAGACTTTGACTGATATAAAATAGAGAGATGGGTAAATGTTTATTTTTGAAGATCCTTGTCCTGCTCCACAGATTTTTGACTGTCCTCGCCTGAAGTTCTCCGAGATTCCTCAGCGCCTCACTAACCTCCTGCTACCGCCCGACCCCATCGTCATCAACCATGTGATCAGGTACAGACTCCTACTAAATCACATGAAATCCTACCTAAGGAAGTAAAACCCCTCTCTGTTTCCTCTTCATTCACTCATTCTCTTGCTTTCCCCTCAGCGTTGACCCAAACGACCAGAAGAAGACGGCCTGCTACGACATTGACGTGGAGGTGGAAGATCCCCTCAAGAGCCAGATGAGCAGCTTCCTGCTCTCCACTGCCAACCAGCAGGAAATCGCCTCCCTCGACAACAAGGTGAACGTCCTATATCCACTCACTAGAAACAAGGTATATCAGTCTGAAAAAGGATTACAAGTGAATTGTGTGTTGGTAGTGAATACGATCACAAACTCTTCTTTCTATCAGTTTGTGATCTTAAGCTCAGACACAGTTGGGTTATGCAGCAGGAAAACAATCTAAAACATGCCAGCAAGCACAAATGGGTCAAAAATGCATCAAAAAGAAGGGTTTGAAGTAGCCTAGTCAAAGTCTGAACTTAAACAGGTGTTTATGCATGGAAACATCTCAGTATGGCTGAATTAAAACATCTCTCCAAAGAAGAGTGGGACCAGAATAACTCCATAGTAATGCAAAATACTCACTGCCAATGACTGCTAATCTTCACTGGAGTTGTTGCTGTCAGTTTTGGCTCAACAGTGATTAGATTTAGGAGGCAAATACTTTTTATATGGAACTGTATCAATAAAAACCCAACATTTTTTCTAGACAGTAAACGATATAACATGCAGTTACCTATTGAATTGTTTTCTGAGATGATGGTTGGAAAGCAACATATGAGGTCTTGGGATGACTCCAGAAATTAGACGTGTGAAATAAAATTGTGGTCATAAGTCAATAAAAGCTGGAAGATTTTTGAGCCAACTTTTAAATGGGCTACATTTTATTAGTGTTTATAAAAAATGGTTTTAGCTGCTTTGTTTTATCTTGGGGGTGTGGGAGGGGGGCGGGTTTGTACGGTTATTATTTCTGAAAGGTTTCTTTTTTTATGTCCAGTTCCTCTTTCTGTTTTATTTAGAAAACCTGGCGCTGGTTATTTCATTATGTGTAGTTTATGTTTCTGCCTATCTGGACTCTGTTTATCACTCATCTGTTGTTCATTTGGGAACCGGTTTCTCAGCAGAGCCCCTTCCTGGTAAATCGTAAAGCTCCTTCTTGGTAGACTTTTTTTTTTCTTTACATGAAAAGGATTGCAGAAGCATTGCTAGTTTAATGAGGCTGCAGTCCACTTAGGGGGAAGTCCTGTTTTTCAGTTCAACAAAAAAAACATGCCTTGTAATATGTGTAATATGCAAGTATATTGATTATATGATTTTTATGTAAAATCAAAATTTCTTCACATATTTTGTTGCTTTGTCTTGTCTTGAATCCTGTGATACTTTAGCACCCACAAATATATTTTTTTCCATAAAATATAAAGATTATGACTTCAATTTTGGCCATTGATGTGGTGGAACATTGATGAACAAGTTTAATATTTAATATTCCTTAATATTATTGTTATGCCCCCAAGATCTAGGGGTTGAGGGGCAGACACATAAAAATGTGTCCAGAGAAAATAAGTGGAATGTAAAGTCATTTATTCCAAAAATAAAAAAAGATGGTTTCACAAAACCAAAACACAATACAATTTAACAAAAAAAGGTCTAACCTACTGAAGAATGTTAAGTGCAAATTAGTTTACAAAATGTTCAAACAAGTCTGAGGTAAACTTAAATAAAGGAAAAGGAAGAAAAAAACACACACACAAGGGAGAACCAAGCCTCCCAAACACGAGGTTCTAGCTTGTTAAATCAGACTACTCCAAAGGCAAACTGTTGAGTAGAACAAGCAAGAACAAAAATGTTTCAAAATTGCCCAAAGCAGTTACAAGCACCAAAGGTGGGGGACAGCTGAACAAAACCTCTTCCTACAAGCTGCCCCACTGAAGGAATGGAGTCAGGATGGTGCAGGTGGGTCTCATCAGCATCTGATTGACTTGACGATCCTCTGCTGACCCAATGAGGTCGCTGCTCCTCTGCAGCCTTCAGGCAGCCAATCAGGAAGGTGTGCCCTCACAGTTGAACCTGCATAACAAAAAGAACCCTGCACAGCCTCAAGAGGCCAGGCGCTGTAACAGTTTTTTTGGAAAGCTAATTTTGAACTAAGCTGCAAAATTGAGGACGTGTTGTCTAATCAGAGGCGGTCAAGGTTGGTTCTTCTGGTTCAGAGGTTTGAATCTGGTGTTTCTGTTTTCCAGATTCATGAGACCATTGAGTCCATCAACCAGCTGAAGATCCAACGGGACTTCATGCTCAGCTTCTCCAGAGATCCCAAAGGCTACATCCAAGACTGGCTCAAGTCCCAAAGCCGAGACCTCAAGGTTCAACATGCCCGTCCGCCCGTCCGTCTGCCTATTCATCCATTAATCCATACGTCTATCCATACATACATGTATGGAAAGGTCCATACATCCATCCATCCATACATACATCCATACATACATCCATACATCCATCTTTCTATCTTTGTTCTTGCCTGAATGCTGTTTAAATATCCCTAATAAATAAATGGTGAACCTTTGTATTTATATGAAAATCTGCTAAAAGGTAATAGCTCTAGAACTTTGACTGTGGAGCAACATGTAGTTATAAATGAAAAAAAAACATGGCTACTCCTCTGGTCTCTCAAAATAAATCTAACCTTTTGTTGGACACTTCAATATGTTTTTAATTAAAAACATGTATAAAATACCAACATAAAGATTACAACCCTCAACACAATTTATTTTGAACCAAGAAATACTCAAACACAATGCCGTCACCTTAGATGTTTGCTGCAGGATGTAAGTTTTCTAACTTGTGCTGCAGTTGATGACCGACGTGGTGGGAAACCCTGAGGAGGAGCGGAGGGCGGCATTTTACCACGAACCCTGGTCCCAGGAGGCGGTCAGCCGCTACTTCTACTGCAAGGTGAAGAAAGCCCACCCCCTCATCGTTTATAAAATCTCTTCTTTTTCTTCTTCTTCTTCTAACTTGCCGTTCTCCTGATAGATCCAGCAGAGGAGACAGGAGCTGGAACAGGCCTTAGCAGTCCGCAACACCTAAAGCAGAAGGCCCTCCTGAAGTTCTGCCTCTGGATTTTCAAGCTGTGTGTGTGTGTTTGGATTTTTGTGAGTGTGTGTGTGAGGCCAGCAGCGAAGTCTAGATCTTTAGCTGAACCTAAAGAAGTCCACATTCAGTTTGTCAACAGTTTTGAAGCTAAAAAGGACTCAACAGGTTTGTCAGACCCAGATAAGGATGCACTTCCCGTTTGAAAAGACCATAAAGTAATCATCGTTAGCAGCACTGTTGGCCCTCAGAGGCTCGACTTTGTAAATATGTCCCGCAAAAACTGTCGACCAGCTGCTCACACAGCTCCATGTTTGTGCTCTGGACGAGTCTAACTACGCACATTTTTTTTTATTTCTCCTCATTTGAATCCTATTTTTTTAAGGGTTAATTAATAACACCAGCAAAATATGAGATTACAGTTTTCTGGGTGGTTGCAGATTATAAAACATGACCTGTTGGTTGCATTCATTGTTTCTCCACCATGTTTAGTTTGCTTAAAAAAAAGAGACTGCGAAGTTTAAGTATTACCATGCTATCAGCAGTTTATGACAGAAGTTTACATGCACTCATCACTACCGTAAGGATTATATTAACTGTGTTCCATGGTGAATAGTTTTTATGTTAATTTCTCCTTGGTGAACTAATTGTTCAACAACTTTAACTTTTTAAAAACAAGATTTGGGAAATGTCAAGTTAATACAATTTTATCTAATTCACATGAGGTCAAAACTTCACATGCATGCTCTTATATATACATACAAACCCCCTGAACACCATCGATAAGTTAATTAAATTTTTCTGGCTGAATATTTAACAAGTTTTCTTGGCAAAATACACACAATTTTTGTATTGTGGTCCAGCACAGGACTCTGATCCCAAACATACTTTAAAACTAAGGCTGGGATTAAAATTTTGCTTAATTAATTACTTTGATTTTAAAATGTTAACACAACTATTTATTTATTTATTTTATTTTACATTTTGTTCCTGCGGGAACCTTTGTATTTGTGCGTTTCTAGTACCTCGTAAATCCAACATCATCGGCAAACATCAGCAATGGGTGATAATGCTGCTTTTGACCCGCTGGGAGTTCATTTTTGCTTCAAAAATAATCTTATGAGATGCTACCAGGCTAACATCAAGCTTCTGAAACTTTTTGTAGACTGCACTTATATTTGAACTGGTGCCAGTTCCAAATTCAGAACCAATTCAGCCAAGAAAAGTAGTAGCCAGAACTACAATATATGAAATGCTTCCTGATGCTATGGGAAGCTATGTGTTTGTGGGTTTGTATGTACAGATTGAGCCTTTTCATTATTAATCATTCACATAAGAAACCTAAAATTATCACCATGGTGAATGTCTATAAACTTCTGACCAGAACAGTTGCTGGAAAACAATATGGTGTGAGGATCGTATTTTTTTTTTTTTCCTTTAATCATGTCACTGTGATGGAAATAATCCCTTTTGTGTGTTTTTAAGATCAGTGTTTCAAAAGTTTTACCAAAGGATCCAACAAAAAGAAGCAGAGAACAAAAACTGGACAAAAACACAGATCTGTGTTTTAAAAAAATATTAACTGAGCAGCATTAGCAGTTAAGTCCAGGTCTGTTGCATTTTACATTTTCTATGTTATTCATGCACAGAGAAGGAAAAAAAGAATAACGAAGGTTAGTTTGTTGGAGATTTGAATGTAAATATGTTTTGGTGTCCAGCTGTACAGTCCACATCTGTTTGGATTACATGTTGCAGAATGGGAGCTACATTCGTTTTTAATTATTCCCACTTTGGGGATCGATTTATTTTTGTGTCTTACAGTGGGAGCTTCATCAAAAATCAGTCTCAATAGCTGCAACAGAATATAATCTGCACCAATCTCATTTTACATGTTTTTTAATGACTTGTATGTATATGTTGTACTGTCAATTAGATTATTTGTTTTTGGATGGGAGGGTTACTTTGCACTGTGGTGTAAACTCTTTGTCGGGACTCTCTTTTGTGGGTGAAACCCTCTTTATAATCCCAGCGTACACAAAAATCGACCTATGCATGCTCCATGAACATGGATCAATACATCTGATGTGGCTGTCAGTGTAAATATTAAGAGGTCTGCATAGATGTGTACGTAGCCAAGGCAAGACTCGGCAGGTTTGCTGATGGCGCCTTCTGGAAATTGTTTTTTTGCCAAAAAAGAAGAAAATAATAATAACTTGTCCTACCAGCAACTAACTAACTGTAGGTGTGAGCTGTATGTTTTCATTACTGGGACTAAGTTATATTCACTGCACTGTGTAGGTAGCTGTAGCTAGGAAATCAGTCCCTGTCTCACCTGGAGTTTCTTTTTGTTCTTTTTGTTTTTCTTCTATTCATAGCATGCCCAGGACATTTATAACGTTGTCACTGAATCACTAACCCCCTCTTGTGGAGGACACCTGGAGCTGCAACTCCTCTACAACAGAATCATCACTACTGTATTAGTCTGTCACCTATCCCTGTCCATTCTGTTGCATGTGGGTCTGAGGAGGGGGAGCTACTCTCTCTTTGTTTACACTGAGGGTCACCGACAGGAGGTTAATAATAATAATAAATAATAATGCTGTATATCTCTAAAGGGTTTCATGATCATGTTCTGTAAAGAAAAAGAGGGGAATACAGCTGTAACATTGTGAGACAGCCTGGATGTAAATAAAGAAGCGCTTGCCAAAGTTTGTAAATGCCATCAGATGTGAAGTCTCTTTTGTTGTTCGTCAGTTTTCTATGGCTTAAAAGCTACATGTTGATTCATTAGTATGATTTTAAAATCCACGTTTTGGAAACTGATTTGGAAAAATCTTCATTTGCCTGATTTTTTTGTTTGTTTGTTTCTGATACTGAATTATTGCCAATTGGCAATTGAATTATTGCCAATTGAATTATTTGAATTATTGCCAATTTCATTGGCAATTGAATTATTGCCAATTCTTAAAATGCCAAAATTTCCACTTAACTTTATGTTTTGGGGACTCTGATGTATTTTTTAATTAAATAAATTAAAATTGTTGTTAATTGTTAAATAATCAATCGATTGTTTACTCAGTACACGAGTCGACTTTTTACCAAATACCTTTTTACTCTTGGATGGCTAATTTTTACCTTTACTAGAGTAAAAATATATTGAAGTGGTGCTGCTCTTTTTGGTTCTCTACATACTCTGACCAGCAGTAAATGTTCTTTGGAGGCGATGGCATGGAAAGATTTGGGAACCCAAGATAATTGGAATATGAAATTTAAGATATTATTTTATATATATAATGCCTGCTACTCGTTGTGTCGTCACATAAATGACTTTGACTCATAAAAATGTTTCAGTTCTGGCTCATTGGTGGGGTCTGCTTCATGCAGGAGAGCGGCGCTGTTTGCAGGCGGCAGACAAGAGTTTTATTGTTCCTGGTGGAGGCAGGTGGAGGCCCTCCTTTCCACTGTGACCTGCAGCGGAGCTGGAGCACCTTGCCGCCTCAGAAAGAGCTTCTTTCACTGCGCTGCGGCGCTATTCTCCGGAGCCCACGGCCCCTCTCAGGGGTGAGAGAGGTTAGCGGGCCTCATTTCGCTGCATCAGCAATGAGCCTGCATGAAGCGAGGCATTCAGGGTTCTCCACAATCCCAGCGTCGGGGGGTTAACCGCCCATTGGCTGAGTCGGCCTGTCGTCTGGGCAGAGGGTTCACGTTTGTACCGGGGTGGAGACTTTTAAGATTTAATGTGAGGAGACAAGGCGGGGCGTGGAGCTGAGGAACAAAATGTTCATCAGAACCAGAAAACTGACCTAAAAACGGTCCCTGAACGTCTCTCCTCCATTTTCCAGCTCAATCAAAACAATTCTTCTAAAATAATGGATTCCCACCAGATATTAAATACATTTGAAATGCATGTAAATTTTGAATTTAAGACGGGGAATAAGTAGTGAGCACAACCAGAAAAAGCTTCTAAAATGATGAGAAAGTCAAGAAAATAGTAATTTAGTCCATACCTTACAAAAACCTCTGCAATCCAAGTCTTTTTAGCAAATACTTTCTTGGATGGCTATTTTTTATTTTTACTAAAAATAGTCCTATTATTACTTTTCTACACACAGGTGTGTAGAAAAAAAAAGGCAAAGGAAAATGTTAAATGCTGCACAGACACAAAAACTAAAGCCAATATAAATATCTGATACTAACCAGATATTTACAAACACAAAAAAACACACACAAGCCGCTGAGTGTAAATTTTACTCTTTAATACCTCTTACAAAAAAAAGAACATTTCCTAAAGAAAAAGGCAGCCAATGGCTTCAGCTTGTTTCCAGTATCTGAACATCTCCACAATGGAAGACTTATGGCTCAAGTGATTTTCTTTCCAATGATTATTAACAAAGAAGGCCTTTGTTTATGTTACAGATACTGAAATACACCTAAATATATAAATACCGTCTCAGAGGCTGAGAAAGCTAACAGCAGGAATCGGAGGAGCATCTATGATTCACTGCTGTCTAGACATGACACATTTCAAAGGTACAAAAGTAAAAGTCAAAAGCTCCCGTAATGAGCAGGAATACTTTAAGGTTATTATTATTGTTTTTTTTTATTGATCCTGACATCTTTGTACCATGAAATGTCCAGAAAAAGAGGATTAAATCCACAGTTTTCTGCATTAAACCAGTGTTTTATGTGCTGTTGGCCTGGTCCTGCTCAAACAGAGCCATGGCGAGGTGTGACCGTGACCCCAGACTCTCCAGGTTGCTGAGCACGCAGCGGTGGTAGATGTCTTCGCTGAACCGCGGGTTGCACGCCCGCCGCACGTACTTTTGGATCAGCGCTGGCTCCACGGCCCGGAACACATGCAAGCCGGAATAACGCACGAAAATGTCGTAAACGTCCATGCTCTCCATGAGGTCCTCGTTCTCTAAAATGTCGGCCGCCATCTTGGTGCGTGCGCTCATGTAGTCGGCGTTGTAGAAGCAGGCTTCGTCGAAGACGTGGCGGTCAAAGTGGCCGTCACGAAGAGACTCTGAGGCGAAGGTGGAGGCGGCGGACGGCTGTTGGTCGCGGTAGATGACGGCGGGGTTGAACTCCTGGAAGTGGACGGGGAAGAAAACCTGCCAGTTACTTATGGCGTTCATTCGGCAGCGGTTCAGGAAGTCCGCGTTGACCTCGGTCCAAACACTCGACAGGAAGAAAAGCGTGTCAACAGGGTGCTTCTTGGAAATGATGTCCATCAGCTTGACCTGTGAGGGAACCTCCGTCTTCACGCTGATCCAGGGAATCTTCACATCGCCGTAACGTTTTTCCACTTCGCCGATCATCGACTTGACCCCGGCGAATACGTCGCTCTGGCTGACTCTCTGGGCGTCGAAGGGGTCGTAGATGAACAGGAAGGTCAGTAAAACGTTATCGTGGGTGTCCAGGGTGTTCGTCACGTACATGTCGAGGAAGTTACCCACGTAGTCCTGATCCTGGGTGGTGACCGGCAGGATGACCTGCACCCGCGTTGCCTCCGTCACATAAGGCATGGGGATAATCTCGACAGCGCTCAGAGGTCGCAACAGGTTGACCCTTTTGGCAATGACCTGGCTGTGACCTTTCTGGGTGAAAGCCTCCAACGCCAAATCCAGTATGTACTCCATCCCACGCGTGGGATCGAAGCGCCTGTACCCATTGAGCAGGCGCCGCTTGCGGAAGCGGAGCTGCGGCTGGTAGCGCTCGTTGAGCCGCTCCACGGCGACCTCCAATATGGTGCTGACGTCGGCTCGGTCAGCTCCTCTCATCTCACATTTGGGCGAGCCGTCTGTGCAGGAGTAAATGTGCTCCTCGGTGAAGTAATCCCAGTTTAAGACCTCGAAGCGGGTCTTGGGTTTGAAGGGAGAGTTGATGCCGATTGGCCACGTCACCCCAGCCTTACCCTCAGGGGTCAAGTGGCTCAGGTTGCTGATCTGCATCTGATGGATACACCCAAAAAAATCTTTGAAATATAAAACCAAAGTAAAATAATACCTTTAAGATAGCTGCTGTTTGTTTAAATTCCAAACAAATCTAATTAACTCATTAGCAAGTTTGCAGGGTTAAAACTAGAGTTGAAACGATTAATCAGATTAATCGCGACAAATGGATCATTGAAATAATTGCCAAGTAGCTTAGTAATCAGTTAATTGTACAAATAATCAATAAAGTAATGTATTTTTTAAATAATTGTTAGTTGCAGCCCTACTAATAATTATTTTAGTAATGGGATTAATCAATTAATCGGATAAAAGTTTTTGGACAAATTCTACAGATTCTTACTGAAAACTTTACAGAAAATATTTACTGACAAAGATTTTTTTTCTCTAGGTTTAATGCAAAATATATAAATTTAAGTACAGTTTTACCTTGATTCCAGATGTGAATATATAAACTGACTTCTTTTGAGTCTGTATACTTCAGTTATTGATTAATTAGTTGACAATTTCTTGTCAATTAATTATGATAAATTGTTGCAGCCCTAATCTAGATAGTTCAATAGTGAGAGTAATGTATAATTTTGTCCCGTGATGAAATAAAGAGACCCACATCTGGCCATATTGTGAGAACTATTAAATTAAATCATCATCTCAAAGTGTCAAAGCTCAAATTTCTAAGAAGATGAGGTAACATTTCTATTAAAAAGTCAGATTTTTTTTTTATTTTGGAGGAACAAAACATAGAAATAGTCATTAAATTTAACTGTTCTGAGCTTAGAGAGGATTATATTCCACTGACATGTCTCAACAAAGCTTTTTTCTTACATGAATGAATAATTTATCAAACAGGAATTTCTGCTTTGTAGCATGCGGTTATTAGGGTGGGTCAAAAAACCTTTTTGGTTTTTTGCTCCACCCCCAAATAAATATGAAAGTAAAATGTAACAAACCTGTAGATCAAAAATCTGCTGGTAAGTCCACTGAAGCTCTATTTGGCTGAAGCGTTTATGCAGACGGTACATGAGGTTGGGGTCCGATACGGGATGAACTGTGAAGGCGTTTTTAAACGCAACGCTGTCCTCACGCTCTGGATCTGCGTTTTTCCCCAGCTCAAAATAGCGATACGTCATCCCCTGTCAGGCATCACAGAATTTACGTCTAGATTTTGCTTTGCTTTTATTTTTTGAGTGTATAAATGCATGGTTGTTGTTACCTGGTGCACCTCCACACAGCTCAGACCCAGGTAGTCGATGATGCAGCGGCCCAGCCACTCGTCCGGCCTCACGCTCAGGATGTCGTTGCGGCAGGTGTCAAGATGCGGCTGCAGTCGCGCCAGCAGGCTGCGGGACAGAAGGTAGCCGTAGCCGCCATGGCAGTAGCGCGCTTTCTCCTCCCCGCCGATGAACTCCTCCGCCCTGCCCATGTACAGGTCCTGCCCCGCGCTGAGGTGGCCCACCAGCTCCGACAGGCGGACCGCCTGCATGTAAGTGTCATCCTGCGCCAACAGGAACCAGTCGTACTCCGAACCGTAGTGCTGATGGAGGTGCCGCACCGTCTCGTACATCAGCCACACGGGCCGGTCGTCGCCGTGGGCGATCACGGTCATGCCGTGTGGCACCTTGGGGCTCCGGAGGCCCGTGAAGAAAAAGGTCCGGTGGAAGTGATGGGCGACCGTGCGGTTCACCGCCACAGCCAACGTGCTGAGGGTGGCCCGAGACGTGAGGACGCCCGCCAGCAGCCGCTCTCGGATGCCCAGTTCAGTGTGGATGTATCGAGTTCTGCTGGGAGAAAAACAGATTAGAACCGCGAGAACATGAAGAAAACAAAAACAAATGAGACTGAAACGATTAATCGTGACGATTCCTGATTAAATAATTACTAATCTCACTATGGAACTCATGAAATTATGGTGTCCATGATTAATCGTGATTCATCAATTATTAATATAATTTTCAACTTAATTAGCACTGATTAATCATTAATCAGAGTTTATGACTAATCCAAAACTGTACAAAAAATATATACATTTTGCATTTAAGATTTAAAAAGCTTTGTAACTAACTAACATACCCCCAAATTACAGTTTTAGCTTCACCTGATTGCAATTCCATAAAGAAAATCTTGAATAAAGAGCATTTTACTCCTAACCGCTAATAGGAATGTTATGTTATTGATATTAAGGCAATAAAATGTTTATTTTCTTCTTCACAATAAGAATTGAATTTTATTTGAATCTTTTAAATATATTTTTCTAATATTGTATGAAATATGTTCAAGTGGTGAAACAAAAAATCTGCAGAATTTGCTATTTTATCCGATTAATCGATTCATCATCAGAATAATCTGTTAAAATAAACATTAACTGCAGCCCTTGTCATTTATCAAGACTTTTACTTCCAACAGATATGATAAAAACTGTATTATCTTTGATAATGTGTTCTTGTATTGTGCTATATTACTTGAAAGAGGTCTCAAAAAAACAACATAGCCATTTATCGCAATAACTTATTAGAGCAATTTGTTACTGTAACAGTGTCAAGATTTTGCAGCATCTAACAGTGTTGTATCTTGTTTAGCTCCACTCATTATACCTGTATCCACACAGCATAATTCTGCCACTACCATGCTCCACACTGTGGATGTGCATTCATTTCTCTTCTTTTGATGTCAATTTTAAACCACTTTATTCTGGCTCTCTGATTTTGTATGTGGGTGCTAGTGTAGTATTTTTAAACATCAAAAGGTGACCTCTGCACTCACCTGAGGACTTTCTTGTGTGGTTTGTTTGGGTCCTTGTGATAGGGAACTATTCGTGGCTGGAAGTCCTCCTCTCCAGCTCCATCTCTGCCTCCTCTCTGAGCGTCTCTTCTCCCCAGGAAGAGCCCACCTTTGGCCAGCTCGTCTCCGCAGGGGTCGTCCGTGTCCCCTTGGTTCCAGGACACCATCAAAAGGCTGAGACTGCACCCCAGAGACAGCCCCAGGATGAGGGGCAAAGCAGGCCTGAAGAGGGCCAAAAACGTCGAGAGGCGCATGGTTGGTGGTCCAGAGCCAAACCCTAAAGGTGACAGCGCTTTACGGGCCAACTGAGACTCATCTTACCCAAGTAGGAGCTGAAAAAACTAGATCTATTGAATAAAACAAGAAAAAACTGACAAGAGTTTACTGTTTCTAATAAATTAGATCAGGTTTGATGAGATTAGGCGACCACCTCACAGAATTTCATGTTTTTTATGTATACCATTACTAAATGTGATTTAACTGTGCAGCTACCAGTACGCAAAAGTTTTCCGCTTTAAAACAACAAATGCATGCAAATAGCTTGACATCCCCCGACTGGCTCCTATTACCCTCAAACTGTCTGGTTAATCATTCACATGTGCCCTGCTACCTGCCTCCATCCACGTAAAACCCATGTTTTGTTACTCAGCTCCACTCATTTAGCTAGCAGTCACCAAATCAGCGGAAAGCTTTTTAAAGTCAAGTCGCTTTGCAATAATCTGGTTATTTAAAAAAAAAAAAAAACACCCGAAGCGAACGAGGAAGAGTTTAGTCTATCTTATTTCAATTGTAGCGTTTAACAATAACATCTAAGAGGAACAAAACATGAAAGATGAAGCTAGCGAGTTAGCATCGCGAGCCGTTAGTGCAGACACGTCGATCCACCTCCGCGATCATCAACAGGAAGCCGTTACAAGTCCCGTTTGGCTGCTGGGAAAAAAACAAAAACGTTAATGCGGTCAAAAACATGTCGTCTACTGCCTTCGCTTTCCCCACTTCCTGAAAAACTGTGTGCCACACACACAAAGTGTGTCAACAGCGTCCCTCACGTCGTTTTCAGCCTCATCGTTACAGACTGACGGCACATCCGCGACTGCAGCATCACCGCTGCTCGCCTGTCAGACCTGTGCTGTCAACCCGAGACAATTTGATTAAACCCCACGAATAAAGCGGAATTATATTTTGACTGTCATCGTGTATCCTCGTGTACATTATGTTCTTAATGCGAGGAAGGAGCATTTTACCTTTAAATGTGAAGACACCTCAGTAAGATTGCCAGGAATTCAGCATAGGAATTCAGATTTGAAATCTTTTTTTTCTTTCTTTAATCACAGTATTTAAAAAAAAACTCGCCTTCCAATTTGTATGTAATACCTTTAGGCATAAATTGTAGCCATTTTAAATTTGTTAATAGGAAAAGAGTGAAATGACATTTCACAACTGATGTGTCGGTCGTGACAGAGCCGACCCGACCTGCCGGATCCTATCGGAAATAAACAAAGAACGTCTTTTGACGTCAAAATCTGAGGACTTTGTTTGAAGTTGCAAAATAATAACGTAGTTAGAATTAATTGCTATTGGAACTGGTGATTTAGGTATTCAGGGTCAATTTCTTCTGGCGATAAGAAACCATAGCTAATTGGACCAAATTTATTTTATTTTTTATTTTCAGAGTTCTACTTTAATAATTAATGAAAAATTGAGATGTTGAAAAACTGAGTAGTATTTAAAATTAATTGGCATGAAGAATTGTTTGGGACCCGAAAGAACCGGCTGAGCCAAAGCAACGGATCCCATAACCGAGCCGGAAGTCCCATCTCTACATTTTACTGCAGTCCCACGAGTAGGGGCGGGTCCTGTTAGTTTCACCGCCCTTCTTGACCATATATGGTTCGTCTGGCGGTTTAGTGAGCGGCTACATCCACCCGGCAAAAGGTGGACACGAGACGTCAGTGTGCTCACGACATACGAGGTACGGAGATATTAGGTAAATTAGATCCAGCTGAGTTTAACAACTGGTGCATGAACTTCCAACTAAAACCGGTTATTGTGAAGAGAATCTGGCTTTATTTTAAACTCGTTCTACCGATTTGGAACTGTGTCATGTTTAATTTGGGCCTGGAGTCGAGTTAGCATCCAGGCCTGTCAGGTGTAGCTAACGTTACCGGCTCACTTCGTATTGTGCCGGTAGAAATAACTTTACATTTTATCTCCAACGCGTATTTTTTAGTGTTTGGCATCTTTCGTGTTTTAGCCAACACCGCCGAATTTCATTTACTCTTCGGGGACAAAGTGTACAGGTAAAGTTAGCACGGTTAGCCGCTAACAACCGGACTAAACGAGCGTTATAGATGCTAGAGACGTGAATGGAAAGAACCAGAACGTGGCGTTCGTTGTCTTTGCCACCATTATTCAAGTCTTTAAGACGACGTTTTTAATTACTCTGGTTACTGAAACGTGTTCATTTAAAAAAAAAAAAGCTTTGTTTCCATTTAATTATGGGGGTAGTATTTAACCGGCAAGCCGGCTTGGGGTTCCCTGCTAGCGGTTAGTCATCCTGATTCAGACCTCTCTACCTTATATGGCTAATGCCGGTTTAGTCACCTCAGTAATCGCTACACAACAGATAACCAGAGTTTATTGTCATGTTACTGTGTTTTGTTGCTTTTCGTTATCCTCACTTTATGTTTTCTGTCGAGTAGCCTTGGATAACCATGCCGTCAGACTTGGCTAAAAAGAAAGCAGCCAAGAAGAAGGAGGCAGCCAAAGCCCGTCAGCGCCCCAAGAAGTCTGAGGAAGTGAATGAGGACGGAGAACAACCGGAGATCCAAGAAAATGGAGCAGACAGCAACGGTGAGACAAAGACTGGGATTAGATCTCTGTGACCAGATCCAGTGGGACTGAAGAATGTACATGCAAAATATGTCAGAGTAGTCGCATCTAACTTTAAATATGGATAGACTAAACTGATTTGTTTTCAACATGTATGTCTCCGTCTTGAGATTTGTAACTTAGTGAGTTGTATCAACACTAAAAATGTAAAAACTGTCGGGGCTTTTTTCTGTCCTCAGTGACCCAGTTATTTAGAAAATCAAAAATTAAATAAATGAGTTTGTAGAGCTTTTACTGTTAGAGGGAATACCATAAAGTTAAGGACAGGCACATTATTTAAAAAACATAGTATAATGAGCTAGTTCCACAAAACTTTAACAGTGAATCCACATTGTATGTCTTGGATTAAATTTTTCCTTAATTTTTTTTATATGCCTGTCTAAACTTTAAAGATCTATCAAAATGTTATTTTATTTTTTAAGCTGCTGCAATTTGACTTTGTTTTTTAAAAAATCTTAGTTCCTTGGTGTTGAAATCTCTTCAGATTTTTGACATTTTGGATAATTATCTTTTGAGTATTTGCACATCTGGCACACAAAAAATAAAGGGAACACTCAAATAACACATCCTAGATCTGAATGAATGAAGTAAATATGAAAATAATTTCCACCTGTTGTCTATTCCATTTGCACAACAGCAGGTGATATTGATTGTCAATCAGTGTTGCTTTCTAAGTGGACAGTTTGATTTCACAGAAGTTTGATTTACTTGGAGTTATATTGTGTTGCTTGAGTGTTCCCTTTATTTTTTTGAGCAGTATAGTTTTGTAAATAGATAAACATAACTTGTTAATATTTGTCTTAAAAATGAAAAGAAATAAGAATATTTCCAGTTTTCAATTGGAACAATCTAAAAAGCTTTCAACCTAAAACAACTGGATCTCAGTGATGCTAGATGCTACAAAGGTTTTGAGTCAGTAATTTTAGCAACCCCCACAGATCCAGCCATGTATTAAAATCAGCCTGCAGTATTTCACATTATACACCAAACACACATAACCTAACCTGAATTCATCTTGACTCTTATAATTAAGTATTTCTAGTGGTTTGTGCTGATTTTCCAGTTGTCATTGTTATATCTTAATATTTTTGACTGCTTGCATGATGAATCCTGAAAAGTCCAAAGACAAAATCAAAGGTTTCTGAATCTGATGGCAACTAAAAGCAGTGATCCCAAGAAATTTTACTTGTATCTTTAGAGTAGCATCAGTCTAAGCATGTAATTATTGGACTGGTTGGGAAGACTAAAACGGTGTGCAGCGATCTATAAAGCAGGACATCTTTGTTCTCTGGTTTCAGGTGTCGGCAGCTTAACTAAGGAGCTGGACGAGTTCGAGCTGCGCAAGACGGAGGCTCGGGCCGTGACTGGCGTTCTCGCTTCCCACCCCAACAGCACAGATGTCCACATCAGCAGCCTGTCGCTCACCTTCCACGGCCAAGAGCTGCTGGCAGACACCAGTTTGGAGCTCAACTCGGGCCGACGCTATGGCCTCATCGGGCTTAACGGCACTGGTAATCGTTTAGCTGGGACCTCCGTTTGTTTGAAAGCCAAATCAAAACAATTAATCATGTTATTTCTTCCCTCTGCTAGGAAAGTCCATGCTACTGTCGGCCATCGGTCACCGTGAGATTCCCATTCCAGAACACATAGATATTTACCACCTGACCCGGGAGATGGCGCCGAGCGACAAGACTGCACTGCAGTGTGTCATGGAGGTGGACGAGCAGAGGATCATGCTGGAGAAGGAGGCGGAGAGACTCGCTCATGAAGACTGTGAGTTACATAAGATCTGACAAAACTGGAGCGGTTGAATAACAACTGAGCCAGACTCCATAAGAAAAAAATAAATTAATCACATGACAAATCATCATTCTGATATTTTTTTTAGAACAATTTTGTTTAGAGAGACGTCATAATTAATTTTATTTATGGTTTTGTTTTTATTTTAGATAATTAACATATTTTGTACAAATTAAAAGAGCAAACTTTCATTATTATGCCATTATCAATATGTTACTTGAAAATGGTCTCAAACCAACAATATTATCATTTATCGCAACAATTCAACTGGAAAATTTGTTATTGCGACATGAAAATCACATGATTTAAAGTGAGAAATGTTTTTCCATTGAAATGCTTATTTGTGTAGTTTGCTAAGCCATTAAAGAGAGATTATTAAAAAGGTACCATTTTAAAAATGCTGCAAACATTTGACAAGAACAAGATAGTTGGTTGGCATTATTTTAAAAGTCCTAACTGTTTTTCCTGTATGAGGCTAATGATTAACACAACTTATAGGGCAATTGTGCTTTGTTGAAGCTTAATCCATTTTATTTGTTCATTATTTTTATTTTGGAAATTTAAAATGTTTTTCAGTACCAGTGTCAAATATTCTCTGGAAATGTAAAGATTTTAGTTCTAAACCATCTCAAAACGACATTATTGTTTAATTTCTGGGAACAAACAAATTTATCAGGCCTAATAACATCAGAAGGTTTTTGTTTCAGAAGATCATTTCAGTGAAAACGCTTAAAAAGCTGCAATGATTAAAACTAAAACTTACCTTCTCCTTAAAGCGGAGTGTGAGAAGCTGATGGAGCTGTACGAGCGTCTGGAGGAGCTGGACGCCGACAAGGCGGAGATGCGAGCCTCTCGGATCCTCCACGGTCTCGGCTTCAGCGCCACCATGCAGCAGAAGAAGCTGAAGGACTTCAGTGGAGGCTGGAGGATGCGTGTTGCTCTAGCCAGGTGAAAACCGCTTGCTCAACTTCCGGAATTGGATTTTGTATCGTTTTATGACCTTAACTGTTTGTTTCTGCAGAGCTCTGTTCATCAAACCCTTCATGTTGTTGCTGGATGAACCGACGAACCACCTGGACCTGGACGCTTGTGTGTGGCTGGAAGAGGAGCTCAAATCGTATGTTTATGCCTCACCTGGAATGTTTCAGCTGTTCCAGTGTTTTACTCACCAACCTGCTTCTGCTTTTCCACAGGTTTAAGAGAATCCTTGTTCTCATCTCACACTCCCAAGACTTCCTGAACGGTGTGTGTACCAACATCATCCACCTCCATCAGAGAAAACTAAAGTATTACACGGTAAGAACACGCTGCTTAGAATCCAAATAGCAAAGGTCTGGAATACCTGGAACGAACCAAAGTTAAATAAGGAATCAAGACGAGCTGCTGCTAAAAACGTCTCTCTGCTGTTGGGTGACGAAGCAAATCTATATTTGTTCAGGGTAACTATGACCAGTATGTGAAGACCAGAGCAGAGCTGGAAGAGAACCAGATGAAGCGTTTCAATTGGGAGCAGGACCAGATTGCACACATGAAGGTAAACAAGAGGCCTAATTTATTTCACTTTACTTACAAAAATATCCACAAAATAAAACCTTAAAACAGTGCCAATTGCTTTTAACGCAACGTTCCCATAGCGAGTCACGGAGGTGGCAGAGTGATGCTTTGGGATGCTAATATTTAGTATGGAAAAGGAAGCCAATCAGAATTTTTTTTCTTTATTAAATATAAAATACTGGAAGAAAACCAGCTAGTAAACTCACAACTAGAGCTACAATAAAACTATTTAAAGCAACAATTCCAGCAGGATGTTGACCTTTAATGGCCAACAAATGGTTCTGAGATTATACTTTGCTTGATGGCAACATTGATTTATTTTAATTTTTTTCTCAGGACATTTGCTTCCCAAAATTATCTTGAAAATGTTACTTAGTATTTTATTTCCACTTTAAGCATAAAATGCTTTTAAAATTGCTCCATCCTGCAAAATTACTCTTAAAAATCTGTAATATTAATTTTTAACCCTTCATATGTTTATATAACTCTACTGTTTAGCATTTTGTGCTAAAATGAAGGAAATAAAATTTGTAAAGTAAATCTTAAACTACACTATGTAATACAAAACACTTTTTTTTTTTTCTGAAATTTTGCTGTGATTTTACTAGAGGAGAAATGCAGCGCCATCTGGTGGACAAAATCATGTTGCTGCCTTTTAGAAATTGGACTTTTCAAATCAGGCATAAGAACTAGCCTGAAGATTCATTTGAAGACATTTAACTTTTGTGTTTGAAAGTAGTTAAATGTGACAATTATTTTCCTTCTTACGGTTAACATCTGTTTGCATAGCTTGTCGATTTAATCTATAAGGAACTGGAACTACTATAACATTTAAAAAGAAAACGTGTACATGTGTCCTCTGCCAAAATAGAGCAGAGGAGATCTCAAAGATCTGTTAAGAATTAAAAGTTTTTCTGGTGATTTTGTCTCCGATACAATTAGAATATAACATCTATTTGTGTACATTGTGTGGGGTCTACAGAATCAGTCGTGTATTTTTTGATTTTTTTTTAGAATAATAATTTTATTGTCGTTCTCTCCAGAATTACATTGCCAGGTTCGGCCACGGCTCCGCTAAGTTGGCACGACAAGCACAGAGCAAAGAGAAGACGCTGCAGAAGATGGTGGCATCAGGCTTGACTGAAAGAGTTGTGAATGACAAGGTGCAGCACAGATTGAACCTTTTGTCAGATTGTTTCGTAGCATCTGATTTATTACTGCCCACATTCCTGCAGTGTACTGAATAAAACCTGTTTTCTCCAGACGCTGTCATTTTATTTTCCTCCCTGTGGGAAGATTCCTCCTCCTGTTATCATGGTTCAGAACGTGAGCTTCAAGTACAGTGACAACACAGTGAGTACAGACATTAAACAGCCTATTTTTATCTGGTTTTACCTCCCAAAAACAGACAAATCTGCCTTTTAATGTCGTCTTAGCCGCACATTTATAAAAACCTGGAGTTTGGTATCGACTTGGATACCCGGGTGGCTCTGGTGGGACCCAATGGAGCTGGGAAATCCACGCTGCTGAAGCTGCTCATGGGAGAGGTTGGTGCTGTTCTTTCAAAACTAACTTGTGAATTGTTCTCAATGCTAAGTTTTATGATTTTTGTCCTTCTTACAGCTCCTCCCTACAGATGGCATGATCCGCAAACATTCACACGTGAAGATCGGCAGATATCACCAGGTAAAAGTCAAGCCGTTTTAATAAATAATAATAATTACAGTAAAGTAACTATCCTCTGTTTGTCTTGGCAGCACCTGACGGAGCAGCTGGAGCTTGACCTTTCTCCTTTGGAGTACATGATGAAGTGTTTCCCTGAAATCAAGGAGAAGGAGGAGATGAGGAAGATCATCGGTCGCTACGGCCTCACAGGAAAACAGCAGGTAGCCGTTAGCAAAAACGCGCTTCGCACCGTTTTCCCACAGCAAACCCTAATCATTTTCAAGATGTTTTCAATAAAATCCTAGCACTAAAGCATAAAAATGAACCAAATTTACTATGATGCCATTTATTACTGTTTTGAATGTCTTGTGATTGTATTCTACGAAGTAAACTAAAATAATAATAATTTTATATCCCACGCTTGATACACATTGAGAACAAAACACAAATCCCCCAATTTCAATCATTTTCAAATATTAAATTACACAGATCAATAGCTCATCAAGCCACTAGGAGTAATAAATATTTATTAATTATTAATTCCAAAACGCCTCATTGAAAGTTGAGCATATTCAAGGATTTCAAGCACCAGTATAAACGCATGAAGTGTCTCATTATTCTTAAAAGCCTCCTTTAATTTTCTCCAGGTGAGTCCGATCAGGAACTTGTCAGACGGTCAGAAGTGCAGAGTTTGTTTTGCCTGGCTGGCCTGGCAGAACCCCCACATGCTGTTCCTGGACGAGCCGACCAATCACTTGGACATTGAGACGATCGACGCGCTGGCAGAAGCAATCAACGAATTCGAGGGAGGCATGATGCTAGTTAGTCACGACTTCAGGCTAATTCAACAGGTAGGGCTTCCTCCAAGACGCCTGAATTGATGTTTTAAATCACTCAAGGCTGAAATGATTAATCTATTTTTGAAATAATCAACTAAGTCAGTAATCGAGGGTTAACTGGACTATATGGCTTTAAAATTTGCTTATTTAGATTTTAAATCTACTTATTTAAAATGCCAATTAGTAGGGGAAATGATTAATCAGGTAAGTTGTGATTAATCAGTTATTTGTTAACAGAGTATACAGACTCAAAAAAACATTGATTTTTAAGTACTTAGATTTAAAATGCTAACTGTAGGACTGAAATGATTAATCATGATTAATCAAATATTGACATAATCAACTAAGTAATCAATTGCTAACTGGAGTATACAGACTTAAAAGACTATTTGCTTTAAAAGAAAGTAGTAATTAAACCAAAACCATACAAAGAAATGTTTATTTTTCATTTAAGATGAAAATTAAAAACAAAATCTTTGGTAAATCTGAACCGGGTGAAGATAAAACATTTTTTAAAAGGATCCGATATTTTAAAAAGGAACTGAATTGTTTCCATGTCAATGTATTTCTAATATTTTGCAAAAGAGACTTCTGTAGTTCAGTGAAAAATGAGTAAATTAATAATCTTATAAAAAAAATAATTGGAAGAATAATCGATTACCAAAATTGTTAGTTGCAGCCCTGAAATCTTTTCTTTCTTTTTTTTCCAGGTGGCTCAAGAAATCTGGGTGTGTGAGAATCAAACCATCACAAAGTGGAAGAGCGGCATCTTGGGATACAAGGAGCATTTGAAGTCAAAGATAGAGAAGCAGTGAAGGCAGGTGACCTGACAAACCTGGTCGCTCGTTTGACATCATGGACCTGCGAGTTTCTGAACGGAGGAGCAGGAAACGTCCTACTGAACAGAACCAATCTATTATGCATCTTATCGGACTCTCTCTCATACACCTAGTACCGTTTCCTCACGGTTTGACTGCAGTCCAAGCCCCGCCCCTCAACCTCAGGCTGCGCTCTGATTGGCTGATTCACCTGGAATGCATTCCATTGTGTTTGTCTTCAAAGAAGTCTTTTTGTTCCTTCTTAAAACTTCTGTTTTACCCCAACAAGAAGTAAGCAGCAGCTTTTAGGTCATTTTATCATATTTAAAAGGTGACTTCTTTTTTTTTTTCTTTTTTTTTTCTTTCCCCTCCATTGTAAGAGCAGTTCTGCCTTATTTGACAGTAATGCAATAAAGGTTTGTCTCAATAAACAGAACGGTAAAAACGGCAAAACCAATTGGAGAAGTCTTTATTATACTTTATGCATTTACAGGGACTGTATCAAAGTCATTGCCTTTTAGGGAAAATAAACTATTGCAACAAGGAAAAGATTTAAAGCGAGTTTGTTTTGGTTATGAAAATCAAAATGGCTGAATTCCCAAAGATTTACACTTTACTGCTGTAGTTCTTGGCATACATTACATTAGGAGAAAACTCATGCTGTACCAGGATGATTCATTTATTACTGAATGAAAATTAATTACTGCTCTTGAACAATGCCTTGCAAAAGTATTGAAACCCAATGAATTAATCAAAATGTATATTTAAACTTTTACTGTCTGAAGAGGTAACAACCTCCTTATTTATTTATATTAAGATTTGTCTTCTGCAGCACAGCTCTTACTGGAGTACATCGCAGCGATTTTCAGCTCTTAGATTCAAGTCTACACTTTGACTAGGACATTCTAAATCATTCTACTGTTGCCCTGATTGCAGTCTTTTTCTGTTGGCTCCCTCCAACTTTCCTGTTGCCACAGGTTGATGCTGCCACCACTTTGTTTTAAACTTATCTGAACCAACGTCTTCTTCCATGAAGATTCAGATGTGAAACTTAAGAAATGCACTATTTAGTATGCGTTTATGACTTTGAATCCCAATAAAATACATAAGTTTAAGATCTGATTTCTACTTTTGCAAGGCACTGTATTTCCACATTTGATATCAAGATTTTAATCATAAAAAAACAGGATTAGAAATTAAAATAAATCTGCCTTAGTCTGTTTTTCATGCTGCTTGACCTACATTCCTTCATACAGCTAAAGCTGCAATGTTTATCAAGTCTTAAGACATTATGCTGCAGAGTGTAAATAATCAGTAACTATATGGTGAGTGTAAGCTTCCTAAACCGATTAGTTAAGCTGAAGGAAAAGTTCAGAGTTTTAGACTGAGGTTCTGCTTTTTTTTTTCTTTTCCTTTAAAGCTTACATATATATGCAATATCTGAAAAGAAAAAAATAACTTGTCTCAATTTAGTTAAAATCCAGATTAGTTGGAACCTTTTTATTTGGTTGCTTGTTTAAACAAAAGGTAGGAGGTGGTATGTCTGATTAGCTTCCTGTATAAAACATTACACACCTTTCTGAGTTCATAGTTTTTTAAAATAAAGTTCATTAAGTTGAGGCTGAAATTTCTACAATGAGAAGTATTTAAATACAGAATTTGAAACAATAATCAGGAGGGGGTCCAAAAGTAGAGAAGGAAGAACAGAAAATAGGAAGTAGGGCAAAAGAAAAAAGGAAGGTCATAAAAACAATGTGATGAAGTCTGGAAATAATATTTTTAATGCTCTTTATTTTCTAGAAAATGCTGTCATAATTCTCCAAACTGGGCAGAAACCCTGGTACGTGTTTCATACAGAAAGATAATTACCGCTTCCACACTTAATTTCCCATGATAACCATCCAGTGAAAATGTGACGTCGGTTTAAAATCTCATAAGAGCGACTGCATAAACTATGCAGTAAAAAGAAGAACTGCTAGAATTAACTTTTATTTTTGTCTTTATACCCAAAAGCATAAAAAAAAACTTTTAGGATGAAGTTATTAAGGTTTCAAACCTTCAGCTTCCAGGATCAACTAGTCTGGATTTGGACCAAATAAGGACACCAGGACCATTACATGCTGCTGCTCAGAACCAGAACTTCTCTGGAAAACCCTGAACTGTCCCCTGAAGGTTTCAGCGATTGTCAGATTAGCGGCACTAGCTGGAGTTGAGACAGTGCAAATTGGAGGAGTGTTTTTACTCAATGCCGTTTCCAGTTGGTCCCGGGGACAGCGTGGTGCTGAGGCCAGCAGGAGACAGCCGTGCTCAGGTTCATCAGTGTTCGTTTCGTCCAAGCAGAGGCGTCCTCAGTCCTCGTCTGAGACGGCGTCCAGAGGAATAGTGCGAGTGTTGGTGGCCCGGATGCTGCCGATGTTGGTCAGCGAGAGGAGGTTGGCGATGCCCATCAGACTGACCCCAGTGCCGTCCAGGTTGACCTGAGCCAGGCGCATGTCTTTCAGGTGCTTCAGACCTACAGGGCAGGGATGCAAATTATTGATGAATGAGTTCATCTGAAGTTGTGTGAGCCATTTTCTTTGAAACTTGAGTTTCAGTAATACATTTTAATATTTTTTGTCATTTGTATTAAATACTGACTGAATATACAGAAAATTGTGTTTTTTTCCACATGAATAAACTAAGAAAGAAAAAGATGAAAATAATAAAATGTGTGAACAATTCCGTATTTTAAGACAAATTCAAGTGTGCCGAAGAGGACGCCGTTTCTTGTATTTGCCTGCAGCCTGCAATTTCTGATTGATTTTGAGACATCCCTCAAAATCAATCATGTTTATGTTACAATTTTTCTCTGTCAGTACAGAGCAAAATCCGTAAAGTCAGCTCGGCAGAATAACCTTTATCACACTGAAACGTAAGGATCTTGTCGAGTGCTTATATTTCAATCCCATAAAGTGCTTTTTGCATCCCAAACCAAACTTGGACCAATTCTCTTTTCCGCTATGGTGTTATCTCCGCCATCTTTGTTTCTGTATCAACTGCTGTGCTTAAGGATGACCAGCGGCGTCCTCTGCTGGATGGCGGCCAAACGACAACACTAAAAGATGGACTGACAAACGTTATTTGTTGATGATTAGAACTAATTTTAATCCAATAACCTATTAATCGACAATTAATACCTACTTGTTTTGCGTCCCTACTGCAGGAGTAAGAAAATATAACAGTTTGTCTCTCAACCAAGCAGAGATGAGCTTAAAGAATACAAGCTAACAGTGTAGCTGCACCTTGGTCCGTGATCCGTGTGTGGCTCAGGTTGATCTTAAGTAGCTGATGACAGTGGATCAAACCCCTCCTCACAACCGAGTCTCCCACACGCGTGCTGGCTAACCCCAAAACCTAAAAAACAGGAAATTATAACCAAAACAAAGCTCTCAGTTCATTATTAAAGCTTGACAAATGTCATGTCACAGGGATTTTTCTAAAGATTTACCTGTGTACCATAAGTTCATTTTCAAATTAAAATAAGTCCAGAATAGCTATGTTAAGCTGTGATATAAATTTTTCTTTTGTTTTAAAATTAGTTTTTTTGATACTCTGAATCAAAACTAGAGGTTTTATAACTAGAGTTTTCACTACCTCTTCATCCTAACCCTAACCTTTACCATGCAGCTCCACTAATATTATCAGGCAAATTACCTGAAGCTGAGGCAGACAGGTGATGAGTTCGGCCACTCCTCGGCTCGTCACCACCGTTCGGTCCAAACAAAGTTCCTGCAGCTCCTGCAGGCCACGCAGAGAGGGAAGCCCTGTGTCCGTCACCTGCGTGTTGCTCAGAGACAGCTTCTTCAACCTGCACACAAACGCACACGACACTCCCATCAGTGCGGACGTTTCACCCACAAGCATTTGCTGTCATGATTGAGGTGTTGGAGTGACCTGGTCATGGTGGCTAACTGGCTGACTCCTTGGTCTGTGACCTGTGTGTAATCCTTCAGGTCTAGCTCTGACAGAAGAGTCAGCCGGCAGAGGAACCCCAGACCCCCATCGGTCACAGTGTGGCGTCCAGGAAGCGTGAGGTGAGTCAACTTCAGACCTGGGGGAAGTGGGAATCAACAAGATTTAGCTTGGTTTGTTTTCTTCGCTCCATCTGTTTACAGGTTTTCTGAGGTTTCAATCAAATGAAAGACTTTTTAAGACTATATGAATGAAATCTAAGATTTCAGGAATATTACTATATTAGGGCCATGCTTTCAAAAAATTGCGAAAAAGTCCAAGTAATGAGAAAATAGTCGTAATATGAAATCATAATCTTATTCTTGTATTATTATTTTTGATAATATACTTTTGCTAGCTAGCAAGAATATATTAGCAGCTCCCATCTTATGGGTTGGAAACATAAGTGATCCAAAGACGAGGATGAACATCATCCAGCCAACTGGAGATAAATTTGGACTTCAACTATGATGGACACAAAAAAGTGAGCTCCCTAGCTCACTATTTTTTAGCAAGCTACTTTATTTAGTTAGCTAGTTTTTCGCTTTCCTTCATTTCCACTCCTTTTAATGTACCTTTGCAAGCTAGCAAGTATACATCAGCAGCTAACTTGTCAGCAACACAATCAATCCAGTCAACTGGTGATAAATTTGCACTGAAATGAAATTAGATGCAAAAAGTGAGGTTGCTAGCTTGCTAGTTCACTTTTTTAGCTAGTTGAATAGCCAGTTTTTTCTTCCTTCCTCTGTTTCCATTACACATTTAGCTGCTAATATACCTTTGCTAGCTAGAAAAGGTATATTAGGTGCTATTTACCAGGAGCCTCAACCACCTTAACTCAAGGAACACAACAAAGAAGTGACTCAATTGTTCGCATGGCAAAATTTAAGACTTGGTGATTAACGTATTTAAGGCCCACTTACTTTTTCTAATGAATTTAAGACATTTTAAGGACGCGTGGATGCCCTGGTTTACTTACACACATTTCAATTTACAAACCTGAGATAATCTTGAGGGCATGATTCCCATCTCTCACAGAGATTCCTCCTAAACTCAGAGAAGACAGAGTTGGGTGGATGGAGATGCTCTCCAGAGATTCCTCCGTCACACCTGTCCCGTTCAGATTCAAAGTCTGCAAATTAGACATCCCTGCTAGAGTAGAAATGTCTTTAACCTGAAACACCAACACGCAACAAGATGAAGAAACATGGCAGACCAGACTCTTAAGACAAACAGAGTTTGGTTGAAATAAGTTGAAGTGCCTTTGTCTGCTTGATGCTGAGGAGTCGCAGGTGTGGCACGCAGGTGGGGAGCGCAGCCAGGGTGACTTCGGTCACTTCTGTCTGGTTCAGGCTGAGCTGAGAGAGACAGGAAGGAGCCGACTGGAGATACTGAACCATCCCAGCATCTGTCACTTTCGTCTGATCCAGAGACAGGACACACAGGCTCTTCAAGCCTT